AAGTGGATACCCACACTTATTGGCAATTTGTTTTTCCTTCGAAAGACTGAATCACCCTGTTCATTAAAAATAATTTCAACGGATAATTCATTCGAGAATATTGAAATGACCCGTCCATACCTTTTTCGAATTTTATCTTCAAATGATCCGATCCACAATTCTGACGAATAATAATTACATCATCGCGGATTTTATATAATTTAGATTTAGTGTAATAGGTTTTGTCTCATATTTTCTGAATAATTTGGATTTGTATCTCGATCCTGACGTTTATCTCAGAATTTGTAATTCTATCTCGGAATTATAAAAATAACTACAATAATACGGTTCCAATCAAATCCCTAGTATAAAAAGGTTAGCAATTATGTACCAAAAATCTTACTGCAGTGAATTTTGATAGGTACATTTTTTTCATGGTCATTAAATTGTCTAGACTCTTTAGCAAAGCATAATGTGATTTTTTATTGCAAATTACTTTTAGTGATGATAACTATTGAACATCAGAATCATGTGTCAAAAATATATTGTTTCAATCAGCCTTCTGTATCTGACGAAAAATCGGTCAATTTTAGTAGTATGTTGTCACAACTGAGTAAACATCAAAGTGCATGCTTATGTCATTATGTCATACCCTGTGTGTGATTATCTATCATTCGAATGAGTTTTTTCATCTTTAGGATCGTACGAAAGGAAAACCTTTTCAGATTCGCGACAGATTATTATCTACTAATTAGGAAACAAAAATCTAGTTCATCTAAAATCTTTCTTTCAATTTCCTATTTCTTCAGAATTTTTTGGTCTATCTTAAAGTGCTAGAATCATCAATAATGCTGACGACACGATTGAGAACTTCAGAAATATATTAGTTATTCGATAATTCATAAATTCTTGATAATGATCTATTGGTAATATGATAAACATACTAGATTCTCAAGACTAAGAGATTCTAGGGAAATTTCGTGAATCGATTGTCAGCTGATGCAGGACAGACTGTTTCGACTTGCCATGAGTCTCATCATTTGCACTGGTCAGCTGACAATCGATTCCCGAAGGGTACCTCCATATATCAAACAAGTCGAAGCCCTGAGGGGGCAGAAGGACGATCTAGCCTTCATAGCCATCTAGTGGCTTAAGTGCAAGGTGTATAGGTAGATTCATCAATCATACCTTGCGACTAAGTCGTGCATATAGACCCCTACGTCTATTTGCACGACTCTTATAGTCTTGAGATTCTAGGTTTATCACCATCTACCATCTGTTAGTGGAACATTAAATTACAGGTGTTGCGATAGTCTACAGAATCTGACATGGATGTCTTTTCTGTAAGCATATAGACGTAGGGGTCTATTTGCACGACTTATTAGTCGTAAGTATGATTGATGAATCTACCTTGCACTTAAGCCACTAGATGGCTATGAAGGCTAGATCGTCCTTCTGCCCCCTCAGGGCTTCGACTTATTGGTAATATTCCTAATTATCAATTAAAATTCAATTGTGTCAAAATGATCCCCTATATTATGATCTGTGGTTTATTGTTTATAATAAATTTGTGTAAATAATAATCATAATAAAGTCACACTAGAGGACATTTGAACCGGTGAACGTGACAACTCGGCGCACGTATTGTGGGCGGTGCCTTGTCAGTTCTCAGCATTCAGCACATTGTTGCCAAGTCTTCAACATTTACATGATATTTCATTTTGTATATAAGAAATATTCGGACATGCTGGTTGCTCGAAGAAGTCAAGAATGAACTATAATATCATGACTTCCTCCTATTATGTTTTATCTCGTGTTTTATACAACTACAGGAGTGACCAGACTCTAGTATCTTTTTGATAACTTGATTCTAATTGGTGACTGAACAACTTTATTGCTTCATGAGTGAGAATGGAAGATTATCTGACCAATGACGAAACAGCATAAAAATTGACGTCACCATTTATTCGACGTACGGTTGAAATGATCTTTGAAATTTAACAAATCTGGACAACGCATAGATTCATTATTCACATAAAAAGAGCGTGAAAAGTGTTGCATAATAGTATATTATGTAACAAGTGTTATAAGCGTCCTTTTAGTAACGAGTATTTTAAGCACGAGTTTATAAACGCGTTACATACTATGCTTTTTCTACGAACTCCGAAAATTACATTAACATACCTGCTATTCCTGCTAACCTACAAAATAATTCGAAAGGAATGGGAATTGAGAACATAATACATGCAACTGCATGCAACCAGCGAGACACGTATAAGTGATATTGGTTGTAGATGTGTCCAGTCCATTGCTTACTAACCTTTGTTTCACGTTTATTGTCATGCTTAGCGCAGAATAAATAAATTGTTCTCAAAGATGGATGCATCATTTTTACACTCCTTGGAGATATGCAAGTACCAGAACATTCTCTTCGATTTCACTTTCATCTACATTTAGCATATATTTTTAATGAAGAATTCTGATACAAACGAATATTGTTTGAATAATTCTGATACAAAATATGAAAAAAACTACAATTGACAGGCCAGACATGTCTCAAATTACTGAAGCTGTGTTTAATGAACTGCGTTGCTATGGTAATGTGTTTAAGAAATCGTGTTGCCATAGTAACGTGTTTAATATTTTGAATAAATCACAGATCGACAATCCGTGATCAATCGATCATTTAGCGTGGTTTATATCCGTACGATAAATGCCATTTTAGTTATGTGAGTAGAAAAAATTAATTTTGGTCCCTAACGACACAGTGGAGTAATTGAATGCCAATAATTCATAGTTCACTCGCCCAAATGTTCTAAACGATCGAAATTTCAGGACAATTAGCTCAAAGCCAGTCCCAATTAAGAAACTACATTCATAGAATCTTAAGTCGCCTTTATCGATCAAGGTTATCTCTTGCTTCCACAGCAATCTTCGTTATTTCATATTGTTTGTTGAACGTTGGTGCTGCTTTTTTGGTCTGGTTATTTGAAAAAAAAATTAAGATTTTGAAATCCTTACTCAATTTCACGAACAAATATACAAGGTGTCCCAGAACAATGTACCATAAATTCTACAGGGTGAACTAGAGACAAAAATAGGCCGATTGAAGTCAACCTACCTCGATATAAAAATACATCATAGAGCCATGAGAAGGCGTTGAAGAATACTTATATTTCCAGATTTTCTTGAATAATTCAAAATCCTTTCAAGGTACTGCTCTAAAATTTGGGCAATTTTCTATCGTGAATGTACATGAAAGACATATCACGTCAATTATTACAATATACAGGGAGATAGCTATTTCGCATTCTCGCATTTATATATCTTTTTGGGAGTACGGCGCCACTGACCATATATTTATATTTCAATGAATGAAAAAATAATTATCTAACTTTTTTCTTACTGCAGGTTCTTTAAAATTTTTCTTGGTTTTCGAGATATCTAACATAATTAATTTTGGTGCTTCTCCATACCATAAGTTTCTACCTCATTTGTGCGGAGTTAATGACCACAATAATCGTGTTCATGGACTACTTCAGCATATGACAAGGTTGTTGGTCATCTTCAAATTATTTTTTCCGCTCGAAAAAAGTTTTTTGCGAGAAAAAAATAATGAAATTTGGAATCGACCAGATCATATGATGAAGAACTTGCGAACTGGTGAACATGGATATTGTGGTCAATAACTCAACACAAATGAGGTATAAATTTGCAAAATATGATAAGTTATCCTGACATTAGGAATTCTGTTAGATATCTCGAAAACTAAGAAAAATTATAAAAAAAATTGCAGTTAGAAAAAAGTTCATCTCCGTACTCCAAAAAAGTTACATAAATTTTCATCAAAGAGAATGTGAAATATCTATCTCCCTGTATAATGATTAAAATGATATGACATGGTTTTGATGCACATTCATATTGGTTTATTGCCATACGAATTTTAGAGCAGTGCCTTTCAAGGATTTTGAAATATTCAGGAAAATCTGTAAATAAAATTATTATCCATCGCCCTCTCATGGCTCAACTGTGCATTTTCGTATAAAGATATGTTGGATTTCAATCAGTCTATTTTGGTGTCTAGATCACCCTGTAGACACCTTGTATATCCATCACGCCATCTCCATTCAAGGTTAGTAGAAGAGATAGGTTGTCTCTTTTCTTCCAACCAATCAGCGCCAGCGCGGGATAGCGTCATGAAAAAAAACAAGTTAACCACTCAAGTACAAGTTGAATAATTGAATTCCGCGTATAATTATGTCTTTCTCATAGAAATTTATACTGAGGTGACGTCAGAATTTCTACAGTGTAGAATTTTGGGTGGAAAAAGGGCTATCACCCCAAATTTCATTTTGATCCCAAAATGTTGTTATTGGTGTCATTCGATCACCCTGTATATATGACTTTGATTAATTAATTGAGATAACATATCAAAACGAAATTATGTGGAGTAGAATGGATATCGCACAGTATTTCTTCAGCTTGTATAATATTTACAATACATAGGTAGGTATTTTTCCCTGTTTTTTAATAAAGATTCTCAATATAAACTGTATTTACCTCGAATCATGGCTATCTGCTAATGCCAATACAATATATTATACCTAGTTTATACAACACCTTTTGATGGCACAAAGGCACAAATAGGTAGGTATCTACTGGGATTATAGATACCTACCAATAGTTTCAATAATAACAACCCTTAAAAGTACTTCCACAGCCTGGTACACTGTCTAGAAGTTTATTATGAACACAGATTAACAAAATAAGGAAACAAACCAATGAAATTTCAGTTTATTCGCTAAAATATGAAATGACATGGAGTAAAACAGTAAAACCTATACCAGGATCACACTACAAGGTACAAGATTCAATGTAAACAATATGTATGGCACTCTCGATGACGCGTCTATCCCCTCTCTCGTCGCACACCGCGTAGCAACGAGACAACCTATATCTTCTACTAACTTAAATCTCCTTTCACAACCATGCGATAAACCCCTTGTCTCGTTGTTTTCCAGAGAGACTTCGGCGACGAGTGCGTCTTCAACGAGACCATCGAGCAATCGAACTACAACACGTACTCCTCCTGCAAATACTCGAACGACAAGCGCACGTTCTACCTGGCGCTGAACCAGGGCGGGCAGCCGCGCAAAGTGATGCTGCGCGCGCGCCGCCAGCTCGGCAAGCTCTCCTCGTACATCCTCGTGCTGACGAAGAACTTCTCGCCCGACGCGCACGCGCAGGCGCATCCCATTCGGCACCATGCGCACGGCTGCCCGCCGGCTGCGGCGCGCGCTGCCCAGCAACGGCCGCCCTCTCACCCGCAGCACTGCCCGAGGCGCAGGAAGCGCAAGAAGAAGAGGCGGAAGTGCGACGACAGCGATCCCGGATCGTGCCCGAAGAGACTCAATGTGGCGATGAAGCACAAATCTCAAAGTCGAAATAATGTTAAGTGTGCGTCCGATATGAACGGTGAATTGTGCCAAAGAGACGTTGACAAGAAGAGAAAGACGAACGTTGGTGTGTCGGAGCCGAAGAGAAAGAAGAAGAATCGGAAGGGGGTGAAAAAAAGACTGAATGCCGTCGAGACGGCGGAGATGGTGACTACGACGACGACGACGATGTCGCCGACTTCTACGTTGACTGTAGACTACGGGACTACGGTCGATGAGGACTACGCTGTCGATACGTCTACCCATGCGGATTGGGATGACGCCAAAAACACCATTTCTCCCCTAGCAGATTCCGACTGACTCATCTTTCACTTTTTATTTATTCTATTATTTATTGAATGTAAATAATTATATTTAAGGAAATATACCTCACCACTCTCATTTTGGAATAGGCGACTGGACAAGTAACGGATTTTACACGTTTTACCCTTTATAGCTATGGTTCAAAAGCAAGGTACACTCCACCGCACACTTTCTAAACATATTTGCTTCATTATCTTCAAAGATTATAGATATATTGTTTTTTTAACTATTCAAATGTGTTGTCGTAGTAATTAATTATCGCGTTGTTCAAAATTGAGCAAATTAAATGAATGGCACTATACACAGGATGTCCCAGAGATGAGTACCTTCCCCAATTCTAACTACAGCATAAGGGTGCTGGAATGTAAAAGCGTCATTCAATTTTGACGAGCCTATTTATTAATTACCTCTTATTGTAGTTGAAATTAATAAGTTACTTATTCTTGATGTATTCCTCTTCACGTCATAAGAGTTGGAATCTCAGCTCTAGGTTTCGACCGATAGATGCTATTTCAGAAAAATGCGTATTCTGCCAATAGGATTCCTCAAAGTTTTCTGCTTGTTTCATGACAACTAGCCTCGAGTGTAATACTTTTGGTATGTTGTCATATGCAGTAAAGAACAATAAATAATTGTATGAAAATCAAAAAGGTTTCCATAATTTCTAATTTGGCAACAGTGCAAGACGTGACGTGATAAATTCCTATTGACGCGGCAAATTTGAACCGTTTGAAGAAAACTAGGCAGCGATAAAATCAATTCAAACCCACTTACATGAAAATTGAAAGCCTTTTTTGTTCCCGTCAGAATACTCTAATCGATATGAAAAACTGTCCATTCGCCCATTCCCTTAAATGACTCAGATCAAGATCCAGGGGCGTGCTTATATAGGCTATCGTGTTCCCATCAATATTCATTGGATGTTGGTGAAGATGAACCAGTGTTTTTAATCACTGAAATTGAAACAGTATTCCACAAAATTCATTGATACCAACGAAAACTGGCTATGAGGAATGGACGAGTAAAATCAAGTTTTTAAAGTTGGATTACTAAATACATTTTTTCATTTATGTTAATAAAAGTGTTACCTATTTCAAATCTGACAAAAATATATTTTTATAAAAAAAATATTCTGGAAGCTACTGAAACTACCTTCTCCAAGTTCAGCTCTGTATACTGTATAAAATGCCAATGAAATCGAGAATAGTTTCAGCAACCCAGTGACAGGTGAGCAAGAGAGACGCCCCTGAACGATCAACAGATTCTGTTTCATTGAATTATCTTGGCTATTCATCATTCAACGTTCAGTTCCTATGTTTAGGAAATTATGAAGTAAATAGGCTGGGAATAAATCGAAATGGCAATAATATGTGCAAAGATGTAGTAGATAGTAGAATTCCTTATTAAACATAAACAAAATGATATGTCTTTTTCTATACCCCATTCGAAATATCAGACTGTTTCAAACTTATCATTTCAGAAATATCTGGGCGGCGACAAATTCAAATTTGAGATTAAAACAGTTGATATTTTTTGTGAAATATCATAACACGCCACTCTCTTCAATTTTATATGGTGTCTGGTGCTTTTGACAAAATTAGTGATGATGGAAAAAACGTGTGTGTGTTGAACAAAATAAATAGTACAGAAATGCCAGTGCACACTTGCGCAGGTATGCACAATATGCACTGAGTGTGAATCACTTGAGTTATGTAATGTGAATCTTTGTTCACCTAGCGGTATAATGTAATTTAAAAAAAAGTCAATCAAACGATAGGCAATTTTCATGTCTTATTAGATGACAAAATGTACCAAATCTGGAACAATTTCACCACCTGTGGCAACCCTGTATTCAAGGTGTACAGGGTGGCTGGATAATTCGAGGCTCATCATTGGTATCTCGTAAACCGTAAGAGCACATAAGAGATACAGGGTCCGTTAAATGATGACAAAGTTGCGCAATTTGATGCTGATCAAAATGCCGCCTCAAAAGTTTGGAAATTCCGAAAACTTCCGAAGATATTGAAAAAAACCGAATATCCGCGATTTCATTGATAGATTCATGATCCGACGTTTCGTGTTCGAGGAGCCGTCATCAACTTTGTTTTTTTGAATGGCCAAAAAAAATTTTTCGTTACTAAAAAAGATTTATTCCAATTCTGAAAAGAAACGACATACAAGACTTTGCAATTATTCTACGTTTCGGACCAAAAAATCATTATCATTGTTATTTGATGATGGTTATATACGAGGAAACGAAACGTCGGAACAAAATAAATCTAATGAAGAATGAGATCGATAGGCCAAAATGAATTTGACATTTTCATAGCCATTTTTTTCTTTTCAACAAGCTGCCATCATCAGAATTTGATCCGACTTTTCGTTTCCCCGTAACCATCATCAAATAACTTTGGTCCGAAACGTAAGATAATTGCAAAGTGTCACATGTCGATGGATTCAGAATTGGAATTAAGAGTTTTTTAGGAACAAAAAATTTATTTTCGACTGTTTGAAAAAACAAAGTTGATGATAGCTCCTCGATGACGAAACGTCGAAACACGAATCTATTAGATAGATAGACAGAGCAAAAAAAGTGAATACTAATTATGGAACTGATCATTTTGACATATCACTTCAAATAATGTCACAAAAAAATGAAAACGAAATCGCTGATATTCATTTTTTTTTCAAATATCTTCGGAAGTATTCGGTATTTCCAAACTTTCGAGGAGGCATTTCGATCAGCATAAAATGGGCGATTACACCTTAGTAGAACTTTCAACTCAAACCATGTTTATAAAGATCCTTCGATACAAAAATAATGATTGACGACATAATTCGATCGAAAAATTAACTGGAATATTTTACTTTTGGACATAAATAATAGTACCTACCTTCTGAAAACGGACCCTCTCATGACGAAGAAACCTCATTTTGCCATAGTTAAAAGAAAATACCAAACGCCCGACGGAGACTGAGGCAACTGATATATTAATTCTTTAATTCAACTGTGATCTCGCGCTGATTCACTCTGTCAGAAATCATGTTTCATTCATCTCTGTCTGGAATAGTCTTGTTTCAATATTAGGGTTTTGACGTCACATCATCACCTCGTTTTCAGAGGTCCGAAAAATCGGGGATTTCAATAATTTTTTATAAAACGTAGGGAGCTCACAGCAAGAAACGGTTTGCGGTGGTGAGCTAGTTTGGGTGAGTTCTATCGAATTATGAAATACATTTTTTTTGTGATATAAGCCCATTGCGCAACTCTGTCATAATATAACCGACCCTGTATCTCTTACTGTTTACGAGATCCCAATGATGAGCCTCGAATTCCAGTCACCCTGTACGTGAAAGTACTCAAGATAACGTGCACCCGTAAGCCCACTACCAACCATGAACAAACTACACTGTGTAGTTTATCTATGCTACCAACGCAAACGTGGAAAAGCGAGAAATGCGGCATGCGTAGCTGTCAGTTTCTACATTTACGTTAACGTTCATGGCAACACTTCAAAGTTTCGTAGAATCTGTAGTTCTATTCTATCGTTCTATCTCTATCTATAGTTCAGGTTATGTCGGTGGTTCTGTGCTTTGTTGTTTTGTGGTCGGTAACCAACGTCATGACAGCGAAATCGATGTTTAGGGTATATCGATTGTGAACTACGAGCCCATCTCTAGCTACGGTTGATATCTAAGGTTGGTATTACGGTCACCGATCAAGTAAAGTAACCTTTGGTTTGAATTGACATGTTGACAACTTGACAAGTGCCACATAGTTTATTAAATAATAAACATTGTGATTGTGATGAGATGATGAGATGAATATCAATATCAGCTCAATGTAAAATTTTCTGTCGAAATGGCTTATGAAGGGAATGGAAATAGTGCCGAATTATCAGTAATTTTCGAGAGCTTACAAAGTGATTTCAAGACTTTGTCTGGGGAATCCAAAAAGAAGTATCCACAGGTTAAGGAGGTATAGATTCAACATAGTCTGATTTGAAGCAAGAGTATATCATTTGTACGTGTCTGTTTCAGGCCTGTGAGGAAGCTATAGCAAAGTTAAAAGGCGCCCAGTCTTCACAGCAAATTTCAGCCAATTATGTAGTCAACCAAATAATATATCCCCTATCACAAGGTTGTGAAACTAAAGATGTTAAACTCATAAGGGTATGTAGATATTCCAGATTATCAATACTTTACTAGTTCCACTATCAATTTACCTATCTTCATGGCTCTTTGCTTTAGTGAATAAGTAGGTATCAGCTTTGAACGTGGCTCCACAGTTCTGACCAGATGAATTCTTGTTTGAAAAATACAAAATATATAGATGGGGTTTGCCGTCACCTTGAGGCAAGGGTTTAGAAGCTTCACCATTCAATTAGAGCTCACCTTGAGGCAAGGGTTTTGGAGCTTCACCATTCAATTACATTTATTTTGTTCACAATTGAACACTATGGGTAGTTCTGTAAATAAATAATGATGGTAAAATGAGACTGTCTATTCCTAGTTAACATTTCCATTTTTGATTGAATTTAATTGAGTATATCATTATTAATTACCAAATATTTATTTGCACTTGAATAGGTGAGTTATGCTAATGGTATTATTTTTATCTGTTGAATTAAGAAGTCTGTAGATAGGTATCTTCTAATTTGTAGGTGATTACTCATTGTAATCTGAAGAATCTTTCATTTTGAATTTTCAGTTATGCCTCCAGATAATGCAAAAACTGATAAAAAATCAGGTTGTGGATCAAAAAGGAGCACTTTATATTACAGATACATTATGGTCATTAATGGAACTAGGTATTGAAGAAGTCAAGATATTACAGACTGTTACTTTATTATTAACCACAAATACAGTTGTACATGGTGAAACTTTAGCAAGAGTAAGTATCAACATTGAGCATTTCTTATTGAAATAATGTATTTCAATAGGGCACTAGAAGAATCAAATATTTGTAAAGACAGTTGACTTTTTGATACTTGAACTTCACCTGAAGTCTAGGAAAGTTTGGTTTAAAAAACAGCACAATTTGCACCATTCATTCAGATAGCTAAACATTTTTCCAAAATGGGAAATCATCACATGTGAAAATTTCCCTATTGCAGACATTGGTATTATGTTTTCGCCTTCATTTTACAAAGAATTCTACCACAATAAATACAGCTGGGGCAACAGTACGACAGTTGGTTTATCTTGTATTTGAAAGGGTTGTGGCAGAAGAAGAGCAGCTGAAAAAATCTGAGAAATATACTCAGCGGGGGCCTGTGAATACAGAGGAATTGAAAATTCCAAGCAGTGTTCCACCAAAAGGTAATGATGTTTTATAAATCATTTTCACCCATTACATACAACTTCAATTAATTTAATTACCACATACCTATCAGTAATTGACAGCCATTGTACTTATCAAGCTCATAGTTGGAAATTAAATTTGGTGCCTTAAAGATGGCAGATGATTTTCTTATTCTTTTATTATATTATGTCTGAGAAAGTACACACAATATTTTTTTAGTCAGAGAAGTTTACTAATTTCCTGTCCAAAATCAGAGATGGCGCCTGCAAAATGGTTGAGTTTCTTCATTCTCATGCTATATGCTCAAAACCTGAGTTGAAACCTAAAGATTTTCTAGATCAGAGATTTAAAATTTTAGGAAACTAAAAAAATCAATGATAAATTAAAAATCAAAGTTGTTGGCCATAAGATAATGTACTTTTCTCTGATGATATTTGATATTTTCATGCATTGACATTGAAAAAAGAGTACCACAACCAGATATTTTCAGTTTTTTCTATATTATTCCTAGTATATTTCATGAGAAGGCTGTTAAAGTTCTCAAAATACCCTGTGAACATTGTTGATGTTTGATAAAATTAGACTTGCTTATCATTTGTTTTTTCATCAGACTAGACATAAATACCACTGGCTTTCATTCATAATAACTAACATTTACTGACCTATCTTGGGATATTCAATGTATCTCCCTAATCATGTTTACAATAATAATTATTGCACCTATGCAACAAAAACAAAATAGATGAAGAATTGATGATTTTTTGTTTCAATATTTGTCTTATGTAAATGGAGAAATACTGCCTTGTAATTATTACCGAGGTTATTGTACAGGGTGATCCAAACTTAATAATAATTTTTAACCTTTTTCAAAATGGCGGGAATGATGTCGGAAAAATAATTGTTCCCACAAAGTTACATTGTTCATCAGATTCTGGAAGAACATAATTATTTTTTAAACTTTCATCCAGAAAGTTTTTTTCTTCTTCATCTTGAATGAAGTGGCACCAAAGAAAACTGTTAAAATATTTCCTAAGTATAAAGCCTGGTGGAATGATTATGTTGCAGAAGCCACAATTAACAGGGACGTGAGTTACAAGAAATATCTATCAGATAGAACCACAGAAAATTGGGAAGAATATAAAAGAAACAGAAATAGGGCAGTAAAAATAATGAAACGGGAAAAGGAACTATATTATGAACAAACTGTCATACAAACTAAAGGTAACCCAAAGGAATTGTGGAAAACTTTGAAGGATCTCATACCAAAAAATGGAAAAAGTGAAAATTTAAATTTAAATGAAATTATAATCTCAGAAAATGTCACCATCAAAGACATCTGTGAAATACCAAATGCTCTGAATAATTTCTATATTGAGAGCATTAGGGATATACTTGCAAATATCAACTCATCTAACTACCCTATCACACCCAGAATCAATAACATATCATTACACAACTTTAGACTCATTACTTATGATGAATTAAAAAACATAATATTTTCAATGCCCAACAAGGGGAGCACTGATGACAATAATATCGTTTTCATAAAAAATTGCTATGATAACATCAAAGAACCGTTGCTGAACCTCATTAATACATCACTAGAGACAAGCGCCTTTCCCAATGATCTAAAAATTTCAACTATCATCCCAATACCAAAAATTGCAAACCCACATAATGCTTCTGATTTGAGGCCAGTCAATATGCTAAGCTCCATTGAAAAAATTCTCGAAAAGACAGTTTATGAACAATTAGTAGGCTTTGTAGAGGAAAATAAAATAGTTAATAATGTTCAATCAGGTTTTCGAAGTAAGTATAGCTGTGAAACAGCTTTCCAATGTGTTCTGGATGACTGGAAAAAAAGTTTAGGAGCAAATCAAATGACAGGTGCTGTATTTCTTGACCTTCAAAGGGCTTTTGAAACTGTGGATCGAGATAGGTTGATTGAAAAACTAAGATGTGTTGGCATCGAAGATAAAGCATTGAAATGGCTAGTTAATTATTTGGATAACAGGAAACAGAAACTAAGGATTAATAATACATTCTCTGAAGAGATAGGAAATAGTCATGGGGTTCCACAGGGAAGTGTTCTTGGACCTTTATTGTTCTTAATATACATTGATGATATCGTCGAAGCAGCAGGAAACTGTAAAATCCACTTGTTTGCTGATGACACCTTAATTTATTTCTCTGCATCAGATCCAGCGCTTTTGGTACAAGCTCTCAACAATTCAGTAAATCAAATACAAGAATGGTGCTGTGGAAATCTTTTGAAAATCAATGGTAAAAAAACTAAATTCATGCTCATTGCTCATCAAATAAACTATAATAAATTTCTTGAGGAGAAAATGGAGATAAAAATTGGTGAAGAAATAATCGAGCGGGTAGAAAAAATCAAATACCTTGGTATTATGGTTGATTATCGACTAACTTTCAAAGAACATGCAGATTTTCTAATAAAAACAATTTCTTTTAAAGTAAACTTTCTCTATAGATGTTCAATATATCTCAATCAATGGACCAAAAGGATTATATACAACACTATTATACTTCCCCACTTCACTTACTGCTCAACTATTTTGTATTTACTAAACCAAAATCAAATATATAGATTTCAAAAACTACAGAACCGATCAATGCGCATAATCCTTTCATGCAATAGACACACTCCTATTACGACAATGTTGAACAGACTAGAATGGTTGCCAGTTAAAGATTTTTTATTGTACCAGGCACTCATTTTTGTATACAAAATAAGCAATGGCACTGTACCGGACTACCTGAGAGATAAAGTGAACTATAATTTCGAATATCATCACTATGAAACGAGATCTAGAAGAGATTTCCACATTCCCCAGTTCCAAAAAAGATTCATGCAAAACTCGATATTTTTCAAAGGCTTGAGCTTGAGAGCATTCAACGAATTGCCAACTGCAATAAAAAGTGCACACTCTCTCAATTGTTTTAAAATCACTCTGAAAAAACATTTGTTGGAGGGAAGTAATCTCTAATGTGAATGATTGACTTTATTTTATTTTTATTGTACAGTATGTATGTAGTAATGTTGTTTGACATATTTATGTGTTCTATGTACAATGTATTAGTTTTTTATGACTAAATAAACGGATATATATATATATAGATATGGAACTCTGAAGTTGACAAGCTTCTAGCTAGACCAGCGAATCTTCAACCATCGAGGTCACGTGACGTCACCCTCAACACATGATATTTCTTCCTTCTTTATATTGAGAAACTAGGACTACTACCAGTTAAGCGGTGTATCTGACTTCCAATGTAGTGACTGGGGTTCAATCCCTGCGAGGCGTAATTTTTTTTTCAAATATTTTCACTCAATTTTTCAAAAATATACTTTTTAGGAAAAAGGTTAATTCAGGACAAGTTTGGTTGAGAGTACTTTCCTTTTTCATGCAGAAAAGATATTTTTCTTCCTTATATAACCTTATAAGTCTTATAAACACGAATAACCTTCTGATGACCTTGAGGTTTGAAAGATTCGCTGGTGTAGCTAGACGCTTGTCTGAAGTTGGCATTTCAAATAAATCTCTACTGACACTGCCGTGAAAAAATCAAGTAGGCCTGGAAACAAATTGTTTTATGAACAACATGAATTAGGACATATTTTGCATCCATATTAAAACGGAAACCTGGCCGACTTGATTTTTATTATGACGGAGTGGGTCAGTTGAGATTTATTTAAAAATACCAATTTCAGAGTCCCATAGCTTTTCACCAAATGAAGATAGAAAAAAAAACTTTTTGGATGAAAGTTGTTCAACAAATTATATTCTTTCAGAATATGAGAAAAAAATGGTAATTTTGTGGGAACATTTTTTTTCTGATGCCATTTTTGCCATTATGAAAAGAATTGAAAAATGTTTGAACACAAAATAATATACCTTACCCCCAGCTAAATTCGCATTTGCAGTTTTTCTTTTCCCTTTATAAGCCAAGGGCGGGAAGTTCGAATCACCCTGTACAGGGTGGTGCTTTGAAACTAAATTCTCTTCTCCAAGATGATGTACCTATCCTATCGATTCATAACATCACTTTGCAGATTATCATAATTGCCGAGAATAGTTGTGTAATTTCTGAATTTTCAAAGGTCACAAAAAGCTATTTCAACTTCAACAAAACGTTTTAGGTTTACCTCCATGTGCCGGAGATGCTTTTCTACTGTTCCACGATCTGGTCCAGTTGGTCAATGCTGACCAACCATACTGGCTCATTGGCATGACAGAAATGACCAGAACATTTGGCCTAGAATTATTAGAATCAGTATTAACGCAGTTTTCATCCGTATTCCATAAGGTTGGTATCTCAGTTGCTATAAATGGTCAACATGATGAGAACCTTGATATCAACAAATATTCAATAAACATTTTTAGGTGTGACAAATCAAATTATATGTCAATTGTATCTTATGTATGTAATGACAATGCTTGAGTGAGTAGATTACTGTAGATTGAGTGTCCCTTCATAAACCAATAACACTTTTAGAATCCTACTCTAATCAAAATAATATAATAATAATAATTAGGGAGCTTTACTGGATACCCAAAAGGCCACATACTGAGGTCCTTCAGCCTGTGTTACACAGTGATTATACATTGAGGTTTTTTCTTATCGCTTGGAGCGCACGAAAGGAAATCCCTGTAATGTTCAAAGAACATCGTGCGTTCCTAGAGAGGATAGGGACAGGAGGTAGGTATTGGATTTTTTGTTAACTTCTGGAGATTATATGTTGTTGGGAATACTTCCTCAGGCAATGAATTCCAGAGCCTAGCCTTTCTATGGATGAAGGAGTTTTGATAAAAGTGCTGTTCAACATCTTTCGAGCTTGACAATGAAAGGATGTGCTGACTGGGCTTGTCTAGTTCGTCTGACTGGTCTTGCTAGTGAAGGGATGATAGCAGAGATTTCTGAAGAACATTTCCCGTGGAAGTATCGATAGAAAAGTGAAAGGTCGCCGACCTTTCTACGGTGTTCCAATGATGTCAAACAGTGAGTGAGTGTGGCGTCACCCACCAGGCGAATGGCTCTTCTCTGGATGGAATCTAAGAGCATCAGCGTATGTTTTGGTGCTGAACCCCTTATGTGGGAACAGTATTCTAGAAAAGGCTGTTTCTGCGCTTTGTAGATCATGAGAAGCTGTTGAGGTGTAAAGTAGCTTTTCGCACGGAACAAGAATCCGAGTTTTTGTGAAGCAGCTTTTGCAATGGATCTGACATGATTATCCCATGAAAGAGTGTTGCTGATGGAAATACCAAGCATAAATATGGTGGGCATGGTGGGTATGGTGGTGCCAGACATTACAATATCGGGCATACTGAGTTCCGCCTTTCTAGAGAAAATACAGGCTTGAGTTTTGGTGGCGTTGAATTCAACTAGGTTGTTGGTTCCCCAGGCTGTGATTTCAGCAATTCATTGACATCATTGACATCATATTGACCTGCCTGCGCCGTGAGTTTTTAGTTTCCTGGGAAGAAATGGGAATTCTGGAAGAGAACGCAGTATGGAGGGTACTATCATCTGCAAAGTTGTGGATGGGGCAAGTTGTTACTCCCAACAGATCATTGATATGAAGAAGGAATAATGTTGGTGCCAACATTGATCCTTGTGGAACGCCGGAATTGATTCCAATATTATCGGACGATACACCGTCCACCACCACGTGAAGCGATCTGCCTGAAAGAAAACTCGATAAGAGATGACATAGCTGAAGTGGTGAGCCGTATGATGGTAGTTTGTGGAGGAGTCCTTCGTGCTTAACACGGTCGAATGCTTTCGATATGTCCAACGCGACAGCTAGAGATTCCCCGTGTTTTTCTATTCAAGATTGCCATAAATGGATGACGTAGGCAAGTATATATCTCCAGTAGATCTTCGGTGGCGAAAGCCGTATTGTCTATCATTGATGATTCCCGAGCTCTCCAGATATTTGATAAGCTCAATATTGATGGCTTTCTCCATCACTTTGGAGATTACTGATAACAGGGCAATGGGCCTGTAGTTGTTGGGCAGGTTCTTGTTCTCTTTTTTGGGGATTGGTTGGACTCTAGCTGTCTTCCAGCATGATGGAAAAATACCCGACCTGTACGAGACGGTAAGCAACTTGCAGCGAATCGGTGTTAATTCATTTTAGTATGTACAAGATATATGGAATTATTAAATTTGCTAGTGTAAAAAAGAAAAAGACAGTAGAAAAGTCTGTTGTGAGGCAAGAATTCTGAAGGAATTTCAGTCTTCTGAATGGATTAAGCATTCCAATAGTGTGTTTTCCGGAAACCTCCGTCTTGTTCTTGTTCACTGTTGGATCTCTCTGTAAACATGGGAATTGGATAATTTGGAGATTGGATTTGTTTTTGGAAAACTTCAAGGTCAGCTTCTTCAGTTTCTCAGAAATTGGTTGCACCCTGGTTAGACGATATGGAAGTTCAATTGATGGATGGTGAAGGGAATTTTGAGGGTGCCGGATTTTGGTAATGGCTCTCAGGCTAGCTCTTTCTGCTACTTCCAAATTGTTCAGTGCCGTCTTCCTAGTGTTTATGTATATTGGGCGAGGATACTCCAGAATTGGACGGCAAATGGTTTTGTAAATATGTGCTGCAGTTCTTTTGATATTTCCTTTATTCTTGTAAGTTAGGCTTCGAATATGTTTAGCTCTTGTGATGCACTTTGTTTTTTCATCAACTGGGTATGATGGTGAAAGTTTAGTTTTTGATCTCCCAGATATTTAACTAATGCCCTAGTCCTCACTGCATGATTGTTCACAGTTACCGTGGGTGAATCATCTGATATTTTTTAATTGAAGAGTATCAGTTGGGATTTTTCTGGATTTGGTTTTAGCCTCCACTTGTCACACCATCTCATAGTGTTTCGAATTGCGGTTTGTTACACTTAACTGCTTTTTCAAGTGATTTATGATGACTTATAATGGCTGTATCATCAGCAAATTGGATAAGTGTATTATATGTTTAGGGCAGTTCAAAGTACATAATTTGTAGTGAAGTATTCCTTTGTGCCACATACTGTCAAAAGCTTTGTTCATGTCAAGAAAGATAGCTGCACTAAGAAATCTGGAAAGTTTGCTTGTTTGTATATTTGATAGGAGAACTGAAATTGGGTGAATGGTTCCACACATAAACAAACCAAAAAGACATTTGTGTCTAAATTCATACTGGTGAGTAGGGATAGTATTCCCTATGTGTTCTTCAGCCAGCATCCTGATTATTATTTTCGAGGAAAATTCGACATTGTCTCTTCCACTATTTCATAACTCATTTCGTTATGGATGAAAATTTTGCCGCGAAATTAGAGGATGGGATAGTTCTCAATAAAATCTTCAAAATGAGGTATCACAACACCTCTCATCCCTATTCAAAATCTGGGAGTTGTGCGCCCCCCTAGTAGGGGGTTGAAGTACCGGGGGTGAAGGAAGTCGTTCCCCCTCGATTCAAAAATCGACGAGTCCCAGCGTTTTTTCAGATTTTTATTTTGAAGCCCTAAAATCGCGGTGCAAAGTTTTCGTTGGACCACCCTGTATATCAGATGAATCAGATAGCTTGGTCAGTTTTTTGTGTCGGAAGAATGATATGAAAAATATCTCGTTTCTGATTCAGAAACATGTGCATTGAAATCAGTATTATCGAGAACGTTCCCGACATTTTTTGAACATTCCTGAAACATACCTGAAATATTTATAAACTTCGTGAACTTTCGGAACGGTTCAATTTCTCAATATTTCAAATGTTTTATTTTATTTTTCAGAATGCTGAATTCAGTTTTCTTCTGAAAGAACGAGTGTGTGCCCTAGTCATTAAATTGTTTTCGCCAAATATCAAATACAGAAGTAACCTACCTAGTAATACTCATCAGGCGACGCCGTTTGAAAAACCGTATTTTCCTATCAGTATGAGACTGTTGAGGGTTGTCTCGATTCTCATCCAAAAATATCATGAACTTCTGGTAAGTGGTGCTGGAGTTGATTTGTTTTCAATTTATATTGAAGATTTGATTTTCTCAACAATTCTTCACATCGTCAGTTAAATCAAGCTACACTTCCCCAAGAAAATAACGCACCACCAAAAAATAGCCCAAAGTTCAAGATACATTTACTGCAAAACTACTTTTCCGATTTGGACGTCTTATTTTTTATGACAGGTGATCTCCTTTTGGGATATTTGTGTGCAAACTTCATTCACCTAAAAACCTCTTTTTTATAAATCTCGGGTTTAGCAATTATAGCGTATAGTTAAACAGAAGGATCAGTAGTGAGTGTTTCCGCCTCTGGCACGAATAACTTCTTGGCAAACACGGCCCATACTTCTAATAAGAGACCTTATGTCATTTTGTGCAGGTATTCTCAAATTTGATTCAGTCTCTGCCGTGAGTCTCCCATGGTATTAAAATTTAGTTCCTCTTGTAATCTAGTCCCAAGAGGGTCCAGAAATTCTCAATGGGATAAATCTGGGCTCCCAGCTGGTCATGGCATGGTATCGCTACCGACTTCCTCTAGATAATTCCTTACGACAACTCGGGCGACGTGAGGCTTGTCTTTTTGCATCAACAAAAATCGTTACACTACCTATATGTTCTTCTTAAATCTTCAATATTTACCTTTTAGCTGTGAGGCTTCCATGCCTCCCCAGACCATAGACTGCTACTTACGTGCTTATAATGCTAATTGAATTCAATAAAATCATACATAATATGATGAAAGATAATGGAGTACATCCAAAATAGGAATGTTGAAAAAAGATAAGGCTAAAGTATAATTTGAATTCTAACTTGATGATGTAACTGTTGTGATGTAACTCTAGAGGGTATTACAAATTTTATGAAAAAAAAAACAGGCTATAATTGCTACCCGGTATTCATAAAAAGAGGTTTTTACGCAAATACAGTTTGCACGCCAACATTCAGTAGGAGATTATTACTTGGTATTTTAGAGTTTATAATTGACTGGGAGAAATACCTCCAAATAGGAAGGTTGAAATAGAATTGAAAATAGTTGTATTCATCACTAAAATTTTCATACACACACAATTACAAAATTGAATACGCGAGAAAACTTATTGGGCTAGTCAGATCTTGAACAAATTTAAAAAAAGACTACATATATCAAAAAAACTGAAACACTGAAAACAAGAAATTCATCCATACTGTGAAAGCAGTTATCTAACAAGAAACCATATAGTTCATTTCTCATTAAAGTTCTACTTTTATTGATCCCTATGAAAATTGTTATTTCATTGAAGCATTTGATACCCAAATATTTTGGGAAAATCTCACTCACTTTCAAGTGAGAGTGGGGAGTTTTTTAGATATAGGTGTTTATTATCATAGATGAATAATTTTTTAAATAGTGGTTAACAAGGGTCCAGTGGACGATCCTTGTCCATACAGGGAATGACTCTCTTTTGAACCTTAAAAATGCGGTTAGTATATGCAGAGTTACCCCAGAAGATCAATCTATACTGTAGCCTAGATTGTACCAGTCCATAATACATGAGTTTTATAACTTTTGTAGAGACAGTGTCTCGCAGATTCCGAATTGCGTAGTTTGCACTGCCAACTTTTGGTATCCCTGGTATGGGGAGTTAATTATTGTGCCTGTAAAAAAATGAAGTGTTTATAGTACCTCATTCATTCTGAAGGAACAGGAAACTGGCCAGTTCAGTGGGCGGTGGGGTGAGTGAGGTTTGTTGAAGGCACATTTCTGTTGTAATTGCTAGGTGAATTATAATGGGATCACTAGCAATTATAGTATCTTCACACTCTTTGGTACTTACTAACTCACAAAATGCAGATTATAACAATAACAATTATACCTTCTCAATGGACAGGAGGGGATTACTACCCTGAATATTAACAGTATACAGTGTGTCCCACTTACCATGCTCACCATGGGTATCTTTTTAACGGTGAGAGATACGAGGTCGGTTAAATGACACCAAATGTGGAGTTTGTCAAGGCCAACTATAATGTGAAAAAATATTTTGAAAAAATCTATTCGTTTTTTATTTATACGCAAAAAACAGATTTTGATCATTTTCATGTTTCCTCCGTAACTTCTTTATTTATGAAAATATTCAAATAGGAATTTCACATTCTCATGAGAGTTTTTCAAAGTGATTTCGGAAAAAATATGAAATTTATACCAACTCTTCTAGAATTTGAGATATCAGCACCAACTTTAGTTTTTCAAATGTAGGTCATAGCTCAGTATGACTTAGTTACAAATAACTTTTTTTTTCTCTTTCAGATGATATGTCGCAGTAATAGTTTTGTGTTGATAACAACGGAGTTATCGTCATTTATACAAACACAAAAAATTATTTGGATGCCGCCATCTTGAATTTATAAATTTTAACAAAAAAATCTTGATCTCCGACCTCAAAAACCCCCACTTACCAATTTTGAATGGAATCGGACCAATTCTTGTCCGCCATCTTGGAGCAGTCATTTTTTTTAATTTCAACAAAAATGCCATAATGTATTGTCACCGAAATCATGGACACCGGCCAAATTTCAAGTTAATCGGAGTTATGGAATTTTTGTTGAAATTGAAAAAAATGGCTGCTTCAAGATGGCGGACAAGATTTAGTCCGATTGCATTCAAAATTGGTAAGTGAAGGTTTTTGAGGTCGGAGATCATGATTTTTTTGTTAAAATTTATAAATTCAAGATGGCGGCTTCCAAATAATTTTTTGTTTTTGTATAAATGACGATAACTCCGTTGTTATCAACACAAAGCTATTACTGCGACATATCATCTGAAAGAGAGAAAAAAAGTTATTTGTAACTAAGTCATAGTGAGCTATGACCTACATTTGAAAAACTAAAGTTGGTGCTGATATCTCAAATTCTAGAAGAGTTGGTATAAATTTCATATTTTTTTCGAAATCACTTTGAAAAACTGCCATGAGAATGTGAAATTCCTATTTGAATATTTTCCTAAATAAAGAAGTTACGGAGGAGACATGAAAATGATCAAAATCTGTTTTTTGCGTATAAAACAAAAACGAATAGGTTTTTTCAGAATATTTTTCCACATTATAGTTGGCCTTGACAAACTCCACATTTGGTGTCATTTAACCGACCTCGTATCTCTCACAGTTAAAAAGATACCCAAGGTGAGCATGGTAAGTGGAACACACTGTATGTAACCTCTGGTGATCCCCTTGGTTTACGGGGAATAGTACAAAAAAATATGTTATGTAAAAGCACAATATATTACAATATAACAAAATACATTGGTTAATGTTGCCCCAATCTCTTGGTGGTAGTGTTTTTCAACAAAAATGTTACAGAAAGTCACTTACCAGGACAGTGGTGTGTACTTTACATCAGCAATTACAATCCAAGTAGTAGAAACTGCACTAGAGTTCAGACATAACCTCGGCAAAAGCAACCGGTGGTAAATCCAGTGACATACAAGGTGACTGTCATTCAAAACAAAAAACGTTCAAATCGGACGAGTAGTTTTGGCGAAAATGTATCTCAAACTTTTGGATACTCTTTGATGGGGCGTTAATGCTTTGGGAACGTTTGGGAAAGTATATGATGACTATGCACACTTCTATTGGATTTGTTTCATCCCTCCTTCCACACTCTTATGGAAATCATATTCCAGGTGACAGAATGCGAGATATTCCTGTCGTTGATCGTGAAATTCTTGGATCCAGACAAGCCCACTTGGCAGCGATCGCTCGCCCTGGAAGTCCTGCACAAAATGACTGTCCAGCCGGAACTGCTTAGGTCGTTCTGCGAATGCTACGATTTGAATGCCCACACGACCAGCATCTTCCAGGACATGGTGAATTCGCTGGGGGCCTACGTCCAGTCACTGTTCGTCAATCCCCAGTTACAGATGGGAATAGGGAGTGAGTTGATTTTTTTTCAATCATTCAATCAATCATTTACTTGTGTTATTTATTATAGAAAAAGAGTGTCTGTGACTATTCCATTAAAAAAATACACTTCCCAAAAAATTAACGCACCAGCAAAAAGTATCCAAAAGTTTAGGAAACATTTTTGTCAAAACTACTTGTCCGATTTGTACATTTTTTGTTGTGTATGATGAGTTATTTCCTTCTAAACATTGGTGTGCAAACTGTATTGGCATAAGAACCTCTATTTCATGAGTACCGTGTGTTTTTTTTTTTCATAAAATTTTTAATAACCTGAATGTACTCTTCAGCCTTTTTTAAACATTATTTTCTTGGATTCACCCCATTATCTTTCCTGTTTCTCCAGAAACATAATTTCATAGCATAACATGCTTTTATTGAATTCAACTGGCATTATAACCACGAAAGTAGCAGGCTATGTATGGTCTCGGGGAGGCATTTCTTTCACTGATCGCACGGAAATTGTGATCATGAATGGAAGCTCTTATAGTAATTGTCACGAGTAGAACATACGGTATATCAGTTATTTCGAACCATGAGGGTTTTATAAACATAAAGTAAATCAAATCATCCGTTGACATTGAATTATAAAAACTGACCAAGGAACACTCATGAGAAACGTGCATATCCAATAAAATGTTGTATATAAATATTGGATGTGAGGGTTCCGAAGTTAGTCTGGTCTGGGGCTACTCTTGACTTGACAAGAGCTCTTCGTATGGTCGTCATAATGTAAGTTGTTGTTAGGTCTTTATATTCATTGTTGTTTATTCATAATTGTTATCGCCACCCACAATGTTTCATGCTTCAATACATATTGTTATCTTTGAATGTAGTCTCGTACTTTCAGTTACCCCTAAACTATTAGTGCCTATTCGAATATTACCTCTCGCAGAATATTAAGCCAAGCAAACCCCTTATAAATCGATATGGATGGGCTAACCATCATCTATATCGTGACATGGTGGAGGCGCCCCTTTATCGTGACAACTCTTTTGTTGTGACATGAACAAGGCAACAACTAATTTGTTGTGGGTGGAAACAACCCTCCAACTCTTTTATCGTTATACTCCAAGTCTTGGATGTCTTTTGGCCTCCTAATGTGGCGATTCCACTGGCCCATCGGGGCACGGGATCCCTGTTTAGAAAACCTGTTATAACACAAAACGGATTTTCTGTTTTTTAAATTTTCATAAAATAATTTTGTAACTTCATGTGATTCCAAAAACAAGATTTTTTCCACGTGAGTACTACCATGTTTACCATTGATACCCTATTATTGTTGCTTCGTTCTTTGTAGAATAATTTTCTCAATCGGCTGATGATGGATACTCTATAGATCCGAAACATGTCCCTTTCCATTTATGATTTGATGATATTAAACGTTGTGGAGACGACTTGGAGTATTATTACTATATGAACTACTTCACCTCACTTTGAGACAACATGGACTTCTACAGTAGGTCCTACAGTAGGAGAAATGGAAGCCTTTCAGCTGAAAGTTACATATCGGGGTTTTTGGAATTACATTATAGTGTAAAGATTTTTGTTGATGCGAGATGATGCCCATAGGGGCTCACAACGTGAGTACGGGAATGGTGAACCCGAGGTACCCTAGCCGGAAATTCACCTAACTTGTCTTGGATGATATCCTCTTCTCTCTTCATTTTCTATTCTATTCTATTGGCCTTCCTTGGCCAACTTCTCTTTTCCTCTTCCCCTCACCATCAAGTGGTGTGGGGAGGGCAGACCGCGGCCGCTCGACTCAACAGCACTCGCAGCATGTCCCCAGACCAATATCACATAAGAAAAGTGGTTATGATAGAGATAAAAATAGCACTGTTTGACAACCATTCTATCTACACACAAAGAAAGATTTCCTAGAACAAAGATGTTTGTGTTCAGTTTATTACATATTTTTTCTACATGTGGCCTTCAGTTGAATTGGAAATCTAAGAGAACTCCCATAAACTCTACAGTAGGTGGATTCTCACAGTCAGGTAATTCCCATAAAGAGAATGAAGTATGTGCCTCTCTTGAAACCTCTTATACTTCATCATAGGATTTTGAAGTATAGTTAATAGTGGTGTCATCTGCAAGTGGTCGAATCTTGCAGGTGAATCTATACAGGGAAGGTCATTGATGTATATTAGAACCCATGGCATGGCTAACTTGGAGCCCGGATTGAAATCTTGATGAGAATCTCTGGGACATTCTTGGGACAAGATTGCAAGAGGAACGTAACTTGAATACTTTGGAAAACGCACGACAGAGACTGATGATTCAAATTTGGGAAAACCTGGACCAACATGACATTAGGTCTCTTATTTTGGGTATAGGCCGTCTTTGCCAAGAAGTTTTTTTGGTTTCTTCTTGGTGGTGCGTTAGTTTCTTGAAGAAGTGTATATTCGTCTCAAAAGTCTCAAACACTACACATATTTCAGTTACACTAGTTACAATGCAAGACAAACAAGTGACAAAAAGTTACAGTTTGAAAACTCAACAAATGAATACAATGATTTCTGCATCTAACAGACCTGCTTCCAGATTTTTCAAAATTCTGTCATTTTTTCAATCTTTTTCTAATCATTTAATTATGATGAGAATAATTTTTACTGATGCTTTTCTTAGTTCCAGCTATGCAAGGACAACCACCTGTCCATTTGGCAGGGCTGTCTGCTGGTCCGGGGATCTCTGCTCAATCTGGATTCCTTTTGAGAGGTGTCTGGTTACCCATCGTAGTCACATTTCCAACTGGACAAGCCAAGTCGACATAGTAAGTACACTGCAGACTGTTTTATCACAGTTATTTCTCTGTTGAAAATTTCCTCTGGTAGAGGCGGTTATTTAACCAACAATGAGGGCGATTAATGATGGAGATATTTTAGCGGGCGAGCAAAGCGAGTGTGTTCTAATGGTGTCAAAGAGTTGGTGAGTGTGGCATCATCCACCAGGCGAATGGCTCTTCTCTGGATGGAATCTAAGAGCATCAGCGTATGTTTTGGTGCTGAACCCCATATGTGGGAACAGTTTTCTAGAACAGGCCGTATCTGCGCTTTGTAGATCATGAGGAGCTGTTGTGGTGTAAAGTAGCTTTTCGCACGGAACAAGAATCCGAGTTTTTGTGAAGCAGCTTTTGCGATGGATCTGACATGATTATCCCATGAAAGAGTGTTGCTGATGGAAATACCGAGCATAGATATGGTGGGCTTGGTGGGGATGGTGGAGCCAGACATTACAATATCGGGCATACTGAGTTCCGCCTTTCTAGAGAAAATACAGGCTTTAGTTTTGGTGGCGTTGAATTCAACTAGGTTGTTGGTTCCCCAGGCTGTGATTTCAGCAAGGTCTTCATTGACAGCATTGACCTGCCTGCGCCGTGAGTTCTTAGTTTCCTGGGAAGAAATGGGAATTCTGGAAGAGAACGCAGTATGGAGGGTACTATCATCTGCAAAGCTGTGGATGGGGCAAGTTGTTACTCCCAACAGATCATTGATATGAAGAAGGAATAATGTTGGTGCCAAAATTGATCCTTGTGGAACGCCGGAATTGATGCCAATGGTATCAGACGATACACCGTCCACCACCACATGAAGTGATCTGCCTGAAAGAAAACCCGATAAGAGATGGCATAGCTGAGGTGGTAAGCCGTATGATGGTAGTTTGTGGAGGAGTCCTTCGTGCCAAACACGGTCAAATGCTTTCGATATGTCCAACGCGACAGCTAGAGATTCCCCGTGTTTTTCTATTGAAGATTGCCATAAATGGGTGACGTGGGCAAGTAGATCTCCAGTAGATCTTCGGTGGCGAAAGCCGTATTGTCTATCATTGATGATTCCTGAACTCTCTGAATATTTGATAAGCTCAATATTGATGGCTTTCTCCATCACTTTGGAGATTACTGATAACAGGGCAATGGGTCTGTAGTTGTTGGGCAGGTTCTTGTTCCCTTTTTTTGGGATTGGTTGGACTCTAGCTGTCTTCCAGCATGATGGAAAAATACCCGACCTGTACGAGATGGTAAACAACTTGCAGAGAATCGGTGTTAATTCTGGTGCTCATTTTTTGAGGATAATGGGTGGAATTCCATCAGGACCGTTAGCCTTATTCGTTTTGAGACCAAGCAAAATCTGTCTGATAGTGCGTTGACGGAAGACGATTTCGGGCATTCGACTCTCAACGGGTGGAATGTCAGGCGGCAGTTTTCCTTGGGAATCTAAAGTAGAGTTTGCTGCGAACATCTCTGCAAAAATATTTGCTTTCTCCTGTGATGTTGTTGCTAATGTGCCTTCGGATTTGGACAGTGGTGGAAATGAATTATTAGTGAAATTTCTTCCGACCGCTTTAGCAAGGGACCAAAACGAACGGGAGCCATTGGGGCAATCTATGAGTTTCGATCTTATCTTGGCATTGTATATTTCTTTTGAAGCATCTATTGTTTGGCTGCAGTTATTCCTGGCATCAACGTATTCTGCTCTAGTCGCGAGGTTAGGGTTTTTGCGCCAGCGATGGTGGGCTGTTTGTTTCAAGGCAACAGTTCTAGAACAGTTTTGGTTGAACCAGGGTTTCGAAGGTGATGATCTTTTCGAAAAATGAGGTTTGTATGTGTCCATTCCGAGCATAATGATCTTGGATATTTCCGCAGCACACTGTGAAGGGTCCTCAGAGTCAAAGCATACTCTATGCCAAGGAAACTCGGAGAAAAACATGCGGAGACCGTCCCAATCTCCTGAATTGTAATGCCATATAAGACGTGGGGGTGCCGGAGCAGTTGATGGAATGTAAAATGGGCAGGTTGTGGAGCGAACATCTCTGCAAAAATGTTCACTTTCTCGATGTTATTGCTAATGTGCCGTCGGCTTCGAAGAGTGGTGGGAATGAACTATTAGTGAAATTCCTGCCGACTGCTTTATCGAGGGAACAAATCGAACGGGATCCATTGGGACAATCTATGGGTTTTGATCTTATTTTGAGTTTTGATCTTATTTGCGAAATTTGATTGAAGCCAACTACCCTCTACATTCATACTTTGAGACGCCGACTGAAAACTAACTTGACACTAACATTAGTGACATTTGACATTTGTCGAAATAATCAATATGGAAAAAGCATGCCTTTTGTTAGAAAACAGGGATTAAAATCGGTTCAGAAACGTAAAAAGGCTAATATAACATTGGATGTTATGTTAAAGAGTTTGTGGGTACTTAGATTGGTAATATTGAACGACGTGGTGCGAATACTTTTTGTTTCAGGAATAATTGATTGACAACTTCAAAACAATAAATTATATCGAGTGATATCTCAAATATGCTCGCCTCTATGGAAACACTGAATTCTTCAATACCTAGTGAGAGAGGCATTTAGTGATAAGACAAATATGAAAGGGTTTGTCCTCAGGCCGGTTCTAGTTAATGGGTTGTGACACTAACTCGTTAACATAAAATATTCCATGAAATCCATATTTTCGATTTGAATGCAGATTTCGTAGTGCCAACCGTGAATGGAAGCGGGTGTATGTTTGGTTGCCTAAAACAACAACCATGCATTATTAGACAATTTGATCATTAATTAGGGTAATTAACGATTCATTTCATGAACATTCAATATAAACTCGTTGATTTGAGGTCGTCGGAAATAGTTATTTAACCAACTACTGTATTAATGAGAATTGATGATCGAGATATTTTTACGTTTTACGCGTTAGTATTCGAGATCATTAATCGCTTTTTAATATACGAGGGGGTACAAAATATTTCCGTCGACTATATTTCTCATTGCTCCTGCAATGAAAAAAACTTGGTTCGCGAATTCATCAATCATTCAGAAACTTCTAAGAATCACCTAGTAACCTTTGTCAGTGTCAGAGACATTAGTGACATTCGACATTTGTCGTAATGACCAACATAAAAAATAAATTCCTTGTGTAAGAAAACAGAGATTAAAATCGTTTCAGAAACTTGGAAAGTCCAAACCATTAACGGACATTCTTCGATGAAATCCATATTTTCGATTTAATAGCATATACAGCGAATGGATGCGTATGTTTGGTTTACTATGCTACAATCGTGCATCAATAGACAAATTGATCATTAATAGGGGTTTATCTATTGCAACCAGGGGATTTTCGGAGTAAGACATTATGATTCTTTCTTCAGAATTGAGAAATTCGATATAGCGGATCCAATATGGTGAACGAGTTTTCTAATTATGATCCGATTCTATTCAAAATTTGTATCTGGGGGTTTTCGGGGTCAGAGATTATGATTCCTTCGTCTTGCTTAAAAAATTCAAAATGGCGGGTTTAATATGTCGAACGAGCTTTGTAATGAATAGTATTTTGAAAAATTAATGGAACGCGCTTGTATAGATAGCCATACTCAATAGATGTAGAAAATGAATAGTCGTTTGAAAAACTAAGAAAACACGCTTTCATGGTTAGACAAACTGAAAAGAGTAGAAAATAAAATAAATGAAAGTGTGTTGTTAAGTATGTAACTAGAAAAATATTTTCTAGAAATAATGTATATACAGTCTGTCCAAGATAAGGTTGAACAGCATGGGGATCTCGAAAACGGTAAGAGATACGAAATCGGTTGAAAGGGAAAAAAGTTGCGCATTCGGAGGCTCATATCAAGAGCCTTCGAAAATTTTGAAAATTATTTTTAGTTTTTGAGTTATATCGAAAAAAGTGAATTTTTGGAATTTCTATTTTATTTTTTTTCTCCGTTATTATTAGAGATACAGCAAAACTGAGAATACTTTTTCATAGCAACTTTTGATGACGGTCAACGTGGTGATACCGATTTTTTCATGCGACGTTTCGTATTCGTGGAACCATCATCAACTTTTGTTTTTTAAATACGGTCCTGATAATTTTTTCACAGATTCTAAAAGGTTTTTTCATTCTGAATTCAACCATGTATTATACAAGGTGGTTCATTTGTGTTTCGACCTATTTTTGGCCATCATCAATGTTTTTTCGAAACTCCAAAGGAAAAATGCCATCAGTTCCACTTATTTTGAAGGAAAATTAGTCAACACACTAATACCTCATCAACTGGTTTCAATCAACAACCCATTTCATTTTGCGGAAATAAAAATTCCATCCATACAAATTCAGAATATGTCAAGCGCTTAAACCAGGCGATGACGAAAGGCGCAAGACATTCTGTGAGTGGTATACCAGGAAATGTTAAAATTTTGCAGATTTCTTTCGAACAATCATCTGGACTGATGAGAGCATGGTCACTAATCATGGTAGCTTCGATAGAAAAAATACACATTATTGTTCACGAGAAAATAACATTTATACATTACAGCGAGACACCAACACCGTTTCGGCTTTAATATGTGGGTTGCAATATTTGGTACACGAATTATTGTTCCTTCCATTTACCATGAAACACAGACTTCCGAACGTTATAGAAATTCGCTTGAGAATCATCTTGAGGAAGCTCTGGATGATTTACCGATTGCGGAAGTTCAGAACTCTGTTGGTTTCAACAAGATGGCGCTCCGGTACATAATTCCAGAGAAGTCCGTGCGTTTTTATTTCTTGGCCGGCGCGGTCGCCTGATTTGACACAGCTGGATTTTTTCTGGGGATATATCGGACTTTGTACACGCAAATAACTTTGAAGATGAAGAAGAACTAAGGGACAGTGTCTTCGAAGCATTCAATAGAATAACCCCAGAAATGCTTAGCAATGTCTTAGAAACAACTGTGAGAAGAGGATATCTTTGTTCAGAAAATAATGGTTATCATTTTGAACATTTGTTATGAATGTCTCTGTAGGTATTGTCAAAGTTAAGTTGTTAAAGTAATTCGTGTAAGAATTCATCAACAATTTTAAACGCTGCATTGATCGAATGATGTAGTGAAATATTTTTCATTCACTTTTCAGTATTGTATAACTAATCCATCAAGTTTGACACTAAATAATAAGAAATAAGTGGAACTGATGGCTTTTTTTCTTTTGGAAGTTCGAAAAAACATTGATGATGGATAGAAATCGGTCGAAACACATTCGAATCACCTTGTATAGTACATTGTTGAATTCAGAATAAAAAAAACCTTTCAGAATCTGTGAAAAAATTATCAGGACCGTATTTAAAAAACAAAAGTTGATGATGGTTCCACGAATACGAAATGTTGCATAAAAAAATCGGTATCACCACGTTAAACCTCATCAAAAGTTGCAATGAAAAAGTATTTTCAGTTTTTCTGTATCTCTGATAATAACGGAGAAAAAAAAAATAAAATATAAATTCCAAAAATTCACTTTTCTCGATATAACTCAAAAACTAAAAATAATTTTCAAAATTTTCGAAGGCTCTTGATATGAGCCTCCGAATGCGCAACTTTTTCCCCATTTAAGCGACTTCGTATCTCCTACCGTTTCCGAGATCCCCATGCTGTTCAACCTTATCTTGGACAGACTGTATAGTAAAACAACGTTTGCCGGGTCAGCTAGTAATCGAAAAAATTCGGGAGAGGGGGGAAGGACGATGTTGAAGTTCATATTATCCATATTTGTATGGAAAAAATCGGCAAAAATTGGGAAAATCGTCAAAAATTTTAATACATCGAAAAAAATTTTAAAAATCGGAAAAAATCGGGAAAAATCCACGTAAATTAAAAAAATCACCATTCAATCTGATTTTTTCCGTTTCCAGCCTGGAGATGCTGGACAAAGTGGAGCCGCCCACGGTGCCCGACGGCTACGGCATCTCGGTGGCGTACGCATGCCTCGTCGAGACCATCCGCTCGCTGCAGATCGTCATCACGCCGCAGCGGCCGCCCGACGGGCAGGAAGGGGAGGGAGAGGGGGTGGAGGAAACGGAGAAGGGGGAGGCGGATAGGGAGGTCGACCGGCAGCTGGTCAACTCGAGCTGGTGCGGGCTGCTGGCCGCTTTGGCGCCTCTGGTGGAGGCTAGCACCGAGGTGAGCGAGATCCGAGGTTGCCTCATCGAATTCCAATTGGTGACAGGCTGACAGCGTGAATTAAGTCACTCTGCAGGCTATACAGTGTGTCCCACTTACCATGCTCACCATGGGTATCTTTTTAACGGTGAGAGATACGAGGTCGGTTAAATGACACCAAATGTGGAGTTTGTCAAGGCCAACTAAAATGTGAATAAATATTTTGATAAAATCTATCCGTTTTTGTTTTATACGCAAAATACAGATTTTGTTCATTTTCATGTCTCCTCCGTAACTTCTTTATTTATGAAAATATTCAAATAGGAGTTTCACATTCTCATGGCAGGTTTTCAAAGTGATTTCGAAAAAAATATGAAATGTATACCAACTCTTCTAGAATTTGAGATATCAGCACCAACTTTAGTTTTTCGAATGTAGGTCATAGCTCACTATGACTTAGTTACAAATAACTTTTTTTTCTCTTACAGATGATATGTCGCAGTAATAGTTTTGTGTTGATAACAACGGAGTTATCGTCATTCATACAAGAACAAAAAATTATTTGGAAGCCGCCATCTTGAATTTATAAATTTTACCCCCACTTACCAATTTTGAATGGAATCGTACCAAATCTTGTCCGCCATCTTGGAGCAGCCATTTTTCTTAATTTCAACAAAAATTCCATAATGTTTTGTCACCGAAATTATGAACACCTGCCAAATTTCAAGTTAATCGGAGTTATGGAATTTTTGTTGAAATAAAAAAAATGACTGCTCCAAGATAGCGGACAAGATTTGGTACGATTCCATTCAAAATTGGTAAGTGGGGGTTTTTGAGGTAGGAGATCATGATTTTTTGTTAAAATTTATAAATTCAAGATGGCGGCTTCCAAATAATTTTTTGTTTTTGTATAAATGACGATAACTCAGTTGTTATCGACACAAAACTATTACTGCGACATATCATCGGTTAGAGAAAAAAAAGTTATTTGTAACTAAGTCATAGTGAGCTTTGACCTACATTTGAAAAACTAAAGTTGGTGCTGTTATCTCAAATTCTAGAAGAGTTGGTATAAATTTCATATTTTTTTCGAAATCACTTTGAAAAACTGCCATGAGAATGTGAAGTTCCTATTTGAATATTTTCATAAATAAAGAAGTTACGGAGGAGACATGAAAATGATCAAAATCTGTTTTTTGCGTATAAAACAAAAACGAATAGATTTTATCAAAATATTTATTCACATTTTAGTTGGCCTTGACAAACTCCACATTTGGTGTCATTTAACCGACCTCATATCTCTCATCGTTTAAAAGATACCCATGGTGAGCATGGTAAGTGGGACACCCTGTACAGTGTCATTCATAAAGTTGGCATATGTGAAAAACTTTTGTATAATAATCTTCGGTCCTATGGCCATATTTTGGTCCAAACACCCCTCATCCTGTATAAAAGAAAGTCCAAAATTAGCGACACTATTTATAACTAAAGAACGGCTCAACCAATTTGGCTGAAAATTGGTGGGGAGGTAGCTTAGAACCAGGAGACGAACAGAGGATACTTTAGTAAATTCAAAATTGCGCGTGGAATATAGGATTTCGTGAATATGATCCGGTTATATTCAAAATTGGTAACTGGGGGTTCTCGAGATCGAAGATTATGGTTCCTTCATGAAAATTGGGAAATTCAAGATGGCGGATCCAATATATGGCGGACGAGTTTTTTAATCATAATCCGATTCTATTCGAAATTGGTATAAGAGATTTCCGGGATCGAGAATTATGATTCCTTCGTCAAAATTAGGAAATTCAAGATGGCGGATCCAATATGGTGGATGAGTTTCGTAATTATGATTCGATTCTATTCAAAATTTGTATCTGGGGATTTTCGGTGTCGGAGATTATGATTCCTTCGTAAATATTAAAAAATTCAAGATGGCGGGTCTAATGTGGTGGACGAGTTTTGTAATTGAAATTAGACTTGGGCGTTACCTACTCGGTCGGACTCGAATTTTTTTGATTGAAAGTTGATAGCATGTTGAAGCTACTAAAATGAAATAGATTTGTGGAAGTTAAAGGGCTTTCACGCTGGGTTGATAGTTGCGCAATACTTGGTAACAATGTCGTGCCAAAACTGTACAGTGTGTCCAGTTTTCGATGCTTTTGCGTGATATCTCAGTTATCTTTCGAGATAGAACCTTGCGGTTTTCGGGGTCCTGTACCACTTTTCTGTGAAACTCAAGATGGCCTAATCAGATTTTGCATAACTGTTTGCGTTTATGAGATACAGGGCGATTTTGAAAATTTAAACTTTTTGGACCCCCTCTATATCTACGAAGTTTCTCAGCGAAAATGTCAAATTGGAATCTTATCCCATACAGAATTTTGCGCAGAATTCAGTGGCGCACTCAACTTTTTTTTTATGGGTATGGTTTCGGAGATACGACTCAAACTTATGATATTTTAAATGGAACACCCTGTATTTTATAAGCTCATTAAATTCCTTATTTTTTCCCCATCAAAATGGAATATGATGAATAGGTATAAAATTTTCAAAAATGCTCCAAAATCACTAAAACATTGAATTTTGATTATGGGCTATGGATTTTTCATTTAAAAAAAGTTCCAATTGGAGGGATATTTCCTTTGATTCTTCCATGAAAAGGACAAAAACAATCCCAACACTAGTTAATTAAGATAACACAAAAATTAGGTACCTGATAACAACAAATGAATGGTAATAAAAAGTTCTTATTCTAGAATAAGCACCTGATTTAATATTCACTAAGACAATTGAATAGTAACTTATTCATTGAATTGTTCAAATTAATGTCCCTTTTCCCTCACACGCTTTCTCAATACGTCTTAATGCATTCAAAATCATTAAAGGATGTCTTTGTAATAAAGGAAAACTGCCTCTGTTGTTTCACGAAGTTCTTCAAGATATTTGTGACTCTTACTGTATCAAGACGTATTGAGAAACTGTGTCAATTGTGTGTTATGGGAAATGGACATCAATTTGAACAATTCAGTGAATAAGTTATTGAATAACTCCGAAATTCAATTGTATTTGTAAATATTTGATCTAGTGCTTATTCTACATTATGAACTTTTTATTACTATTTATTTGTTGCTTTCACGTACATAAGTTTTGTGTTTTCTTAGTTGATTAGTGTTGGTATTGTTTTTGTCCTCTTTATGGAAAAATCTAAATGAATATTCCTTCAATTGGAACTTTTTCATAAGAAAAATCCATAGCCCACTATTAAAATTCAATGTTTCAGTGATTTCAGAGCATTTTTGAAAATTTCATATACATACATCATAAATCTTTTTGAAGAGAAAAAAATGAGGAATTTTATGAGCTCATAAAATACAGGGTGTTCCATTTAAAAAATCATAAGTTTGAGTCGTATCTCCAAAACCATACCCCGAAAAAAAAAATTGAGTGCGCCACTGGATTCTGCGTGAACTTTTATATGGGATGAGATTTTAATTTGACATTTTTGCTGAGAAACTTCGTAGAAATAGAGGGGGTCCAAAAAGTATAAATTTTCAAAATCGCCCTGTATCTCATAAACGGAAACAGTTATGCAAAATCTGATTAGGCCATCTTGAGTTTCACAAAAAAGTGGCACACGACCGCGAAACCCTCAAGGTTCTATCTCCAAAGATAACTGAGATATCCCACAAAAGCATCGAAAACTGGACACACTGTACATCGAAAAATACTAGTAACTTTCGAAATGGGCGAACGGCGTTATCGATTTAAGTTGGCAAAACTGTGCACCGATGCCAGATTTATTTGACATTTCTATAAGCGATTTGTTGTGATCAGCTGATCTCTGCGAATTATTCATTACTGACAATTTGAACTTTCAAGGAATTGTTTGTGATTTATTTGTGGTTGTGGATCATAGGTGAAATTCCATTTTTTCAAAATGCCTAAACCATTGAGTGCATAGGCACAGAAGATGATCCATTACTTCCAATGACTGCTGTGAGAGATGCAAGTTGAATGATGGTATTAATAATGATATTTTGTGCTGTCCGAATGATCCAAATATGATTTGTGTTAGTTTATTGTGATCACATAGTGGTTTCATGAGTTTTTGTGGGTTTTCTTGTTGTCTATTTCACTTAACAGTCGAAAGCGCTCTGCTACGAATATTGAATAAACTATCTTGCACCAAATACAACTCTTCACTTCTTTGGTATTTTATAATTTCCAATATAAGTAGATGCACCACTATATATTTTCCTACGAAATAAAATCAATTGATCGAATTTCTATTTCATTTCACCAATTTATAGTAATTGAAAAACATTCAAAACGATTAGATAACCTCAAAATTGAATTCGAAGTTCTTATTATTTTCACTCAGTAAATGTGAATACTGATCAGTTTCATTTAAAAAAATTGATTCAAGACATAATTGTGTTTTGGTAGAAAAATAAGTTATTTTTAATGTCAATATCTGTGATTATTTGTTGATGTTGTTATATAATAGATCATTCTTCAAGTTATTATTCTTTATAAGAATTTCATTATCATTAAATTTCATATTCAGTATATTGTTTAGGTGCATGGTTCATTAAATACATATATTGAAGTTCATTTATCAACTTCGAGTGCTGATTTTGAAACATGAATGGACGGCTTTTGAGTTGGTTCCAAAAAACATTATAATGTCCGACGATCGTAACACTAGACATATCCATATTCGGGCGGTTGGTCATTCAGTCATTTCCTTTCAACTGGCAACACTGTATGTGTTGACATATTGACGTCACTATCAACCCAGCGTGAAAGCCCTTTAATTCTTTTAATATTACATCAGACATTTCGTAAAAATTGAAAAAATATCAAAAATCATAACTTCAAATTCGAAACAAATGTGTAAAATTGGAAAAGAGTCAACTTTTCTCAGTGAACTTCTTTAAAATTCGAAGAAGTAAGCCTATTTTCAGTGATAAATTTGAAAAACTGAAACTCGAAATGTAGCGAAAGTCACGTGACCCCGACCGAATAGTCCATTTTTAAAGCAAAATTCTACACCCACGTCGAATTTAGGAATATATTATTATTGATAGTTTTTCCGATGTAATGCCGACTATGAATGACACTGTATGATTTTACCTTTGGTGCAAATGTTGCTTTCGCTCGGCTTCACTAGACGCTTCGCCTCGCAAATGCAATATTCGCTTGTCAAACAAAGTGTCACTTTTGATCCTAATAAAACAATCTACTATTTGTTATCTTTGTAATAACATAATGATTGTTTGAATGAAGGAAGCTGTCACCGAAAATGTCCTGAAGGCCATCCAGACTTACACTTCGCTCTGCGGGGTGTTGGATTTGCAGATGCCGAGAGATGCGTTCATAACGGCCATTTGCAAGTCATCGTTGCCGCCACATTACGCCCTCAGCGTGCTGAATTCTGTCACCTCGGGAATCAATCTAAGACAGGGTGAGTAATCTGTTCATCATAGACCTGAAAAAAAAACTGAGTTTATGTGCGCCTAATTTGAGAAGCCTTGACCACATCTCATTAATCCATGAGGAACAATAAAAAAACAATTTCAATTTAATTTCTTTCGAAACATGACATCTGACATAAAGATTGCACTTGTTTTGAACTGTTGAACTTGAATATGTAAAAATATACAAGGTGTTCCATTTGAAGAAACAAAGTTGCTGGCATTTCCAGAAAAATCGGAAGTTTGCCATATTGGATTGTAATGTGATCAAATCTGAAATTACATAAGTGTTGGCTGATACCCTGTGTCACCCGGTATGTATTAGTAGTAGTAGTATGGTGGGGAGGCTACAGCCAGGCAAGTAGGCCCCCATGGGCCCTTTTTGCCAACCCCTGCTTTCCACATATCTACATATCCTTCTTCTAGTTGTCCTTTCTGAACCTTCCTGACCTTCTGGTGAAGGTCAGGATATTCGTCCACTCTAATTCGACCAAATCCTGTTGTACTTTATCCACTCCAAAGGCTCAGTGCTATTCAAAGGCAAGAGTGCCACTGGTGCAATGAAAACCACTCCAACAGCCGCTTTAGAGGTCCTCTTGAACCTACCACCACTACAAATATATATTCAAGGCGAAGCCAGAGCAGTCGTGAGTAGATTGTCAAGGGGTCAAGCACCCATGAGCAACGCGCACGGTAAAGACTATAGGAAGCTATATGAAGAGTTGGAAAGCGACCCCATCATGGGGATGCCAACGGATGGCATAATTCCAAAATATAGCTTTGAAAAAACTTTTAAAATAAGTATAACGGACAGAGAGGCATGGAAGGAAGGACCTCCTATCAATGCCGACATTGCTGTCTATACGGACGGCTCCAAAACTGATGAAATATCAGGAGCTGGTATTTATGGGGCCAAGCCAAAGACAAGAATCTCACTGAGGCAGAAATCATTGCAATACATCATTGCGTGAAAGAATTGATTAGGCAAGAACTTGAAGGCAAAACCATTGCAATCTATTCAGATAGCCAGGCGACAATCAAAGCAGTCAACTCTATGCAAGTTAACTCAAAACTAGTATGGGACTGCTTAGAAACCCTAAATGCACTGGGCAGTCAGAACAGATTGACTCTAGCATGGGTACCAGCACATACAGGGTACGAGGGCAATGAAGAGGCAGACTCACTTGCCCGAGCAGGAGGCCCAGAACCCTTCTGTGGTATTGCGAAAGCTATACAAAAGACTAGTATCAAATCATGGATGCAAACCAAATCTCAAGAATGGTGGAACAACTCGCCAGGAATGACACAGGCTAAAGAGTTTATTAAAAAACCATCGCCAACATTCACAGAATATCTACTGAGCCAGAAACGGAGTTCAACTAGAATACTAGTGGGACTTCTCACAGGGCATTGTAGGCTCAACAAACACATGAGTACGATAGGTCTGACTGAAGAACTGCTGTGCAGGTTCTGTCAAGAAGAGGAAGAAACAGCAGTACACATACTTTGCCACTGTGAGGGCTTGTCAAGACTAAGGTTCCTTACGCTCGGTGAGGAAAAACCAGGAGCCCAGAGATACACAGGAGATCTGAAAGCTAGCCTATGGAGTCTCATAGAGAAGGCGGGGCTAGCCGAAGAACTCTAATCGATTTTGAGGGCAGACACAATAGATCTGAAAAGGTCGCAGTGTGGAGGCAGACAGCCCGAAGGCCCCATTCCAAATCTAATCTAATCTAATCCACTCCAAAAATTTTGAATCTCATCCTTCCATACGCCTCACACTCTCCGAGGAAGTGAAGTGACGTGTCCTCATCTTCTCCGCATTCACGGCAAGTGGGACTATCTTCTACACCTATGATTGATAGGTGTCTGCGCAACCTGTTGTGCCCAGTCAGTACCCCTATAGGAATGCGCAGAACTTGGCGATCCCTGCCAAGTAACCAAGCCGTCTTTGACTCGTTTGGTCCGGCCACCAGCAGTGTAACGGTCCACTTGAACCTTTCATAAACTTAAGTGACCCTTCTACTATTCATTTTTTTTTCAGTGCAATCAGTTCGGAGTAACACTCAGTATGCATCGTATTTTCAACAGAGAAATAATATTTCAGCATTAATTTGTCAGGACAACCTGTATATAACTTTCGTCTTCTTCCTGTGATTGTGATCGAGTCATACGTGAAGATGCTGATATGTTTCCCTGCTAAGAGTTTCACTTGTGGATGTGTTTATCTTATTCTTATTTTTGTCACCAAACTCAAAAGACTTCTTCTTCTATTTATAACAATTAAAATATCAACATAGAGAATTCACTTCTATATGATTGCCTCACCTGTGTTATTAAAACAGTGTGGACAATCGATGTCACGTTAAATACAAAGTCACTAGATAAGGCCAATTTACATAGCACTCAATTAGACCCAGCGCTCTGATTTCTTAGTGTTCTGTGTCTAAGTTCGACGGTGTAATCTTGACCCCGCCGAAATTCGAGCAAGATTGACGGAGATCGTTCTCTCTCGATTGGCGCTTGGCAGAGCAACAAGTAAATTATATTACTCTTTCGAAATGCCAATTATATTGGAAATAGGCCGATTAAAAGCTATAGGCCTTTTTGATTTCCACTGAAGCCATTTTTGCTAACTTCATTAACATAACATGTGCAATATGCACTTGCGCACATGACATGTCGTCATGGCGGCAATTTAAGGATAACCTAACCTGTTGTGGATGTTTTGGTTAAAATAAAAATAATGTGATTTATACTTCACAATTGGGATTTATGGTTCGATGCCTCCCAAATTTCAACCCATATTATTGCTAATGGGGCAATAACAAGTGTTCGTCAGCTGTTGAAGTTTGCTGCCTGTTTTGTTTATGTTTGGATACCATGTATATGAATGAATTGGATACCATTTGCTTATGCAATTTATGGAGTATGAGGAAGCCACCCATACAATTAATGGTTAATTTTGAGTAAGAGTATAATGATGGATGACCCTCGGTGAGTACTACTTGTGATGTAATTTTTGATTACCATTGAGGAGTTGAAGACATAGATCTTCACTAGTGTCTTACTTTGTTTTCCTTGTAATAAGTGTTCTCCTATTTGTGAGAAACGAAATAACAGCTGCTATTTCCTTTCATAGGAAGCCTAGGTATTTTTTTTTACATTTATTATTCCCAGTCACCTGGTGACATATTATTATCACTTGCTAGCCACAGTGAGGCTGTCATAGATTTAATTTAACTGACATTACATCTCTTGGCATTGCCTAGAATAGAGTTGAAATACTCACCTATTCATTGATAAAATTTCACTAACATTGTATAACCTTAAGTAATCTCTCGAATTTCAATTTCATCATTACAATTAGTCATTATATTAACATTAATTGTAGTAAACATTGACTTATTACACACTGCGTGTAAGCACTTCTAACAACATCATTTAGGTAATTATATGCATGGTTTTCAAAAGGTATAGTTTGATATTTTTGTTCTGTCCTATCCTAATTCTTCTCAGTTAACTCTGAGTGGCGCCCATAGTTTGCTTTACAGATAACATCTTGTGGAAAAACACATAGAAAATAATTTTCTCAAAATCCCACGACCGCTCTACGACTATAAAGGCCACCGTGCATTGAGGCTTCAATTTCTTTTTGTGAAGTTACGCCACACTCTGTATCAATATTCGGATGAGATCGGAGACGCCGAACGTGAGTTCGTAAATGAAGAAGAAGCGAAGGATTTTGGTGGCCGCTTTCAGCCACTTTCAGTGATTCTTTCGTATTATTGAGGATAGGTATTAGGTTTTGTTGAAGTCGCTCCTCCAAATAATGAAATGTGTCATTATTGCTGCCTCACTGAATCCTTGTTTCATGAGAAAAATATGTCTCTGTGAGTCAATTAAAGGATACAATAATTTAAGAATTCCACCAATAATATTCCGATACCTACAGTGAAACATAACAGATTTGTAAAATTTGCATAATAAGTGCATTGAGAGGAACTAATTTCGATATCAAAAACTTTGGAGACACCCAAGAAAAACTGTAATATTGTTCGGATTCTACTTTTACTACGTTAACAATTCAATCCAAGATTCTAAAGTGAACTGTAAGAAGAAGTGCATCTGCAGAAATGCACTGTCAACATAGAGCTCCCTTGCAGAAGCCGATTCGAAGAATCATATGTTCTTATCATCTTGTTTGATTTGAGGCGTAGAGATGCAAGTTCTCATATTGAATTATAATATGTGAATAATAACATAATGCGTGTCCATTATATTTATAAGCAGTTAGGTATCTAACAATATCATCCACGTTTAGGCAATTCTCAGATCTTTTATCTTTATCAGTAGCATATAAAGAAACAGTGAGAATATAAATACTTACCCAATTTTTTATATGAATAAAGTTCATATTTTGCAATGAGCTGTGCTCTGTGCAGAACAAGTTCTCGTTGGGATGATGATTATTTTTTGTGGGCCCTGTCAATACCTGTGATCATTACATTTTAATTTATAGAAAAAAATCATCTTTATATGTGTTTTTGATGTTTTATTGAATTTCTAATCTCTCGGAAACTGTTTATTTCTGATTGAAACCAAAAATGAACAAGACAATAATTCGTAAATGCCTCAGTTTTGATCCAATGGGATGTTTCCTTTGAATAAATGGAATTCGCAACACTGAAGTCAAATTTAACTCCATCAACTTCGATTTATTTCGTATGAAGTCGTACGACGATAGCGAAAGCATAACGTAGCGTAACGAACTAGATACAGCATAGTAGTAAAACAGCATACGCTTCGCTATGCTTCTGCTTTGTGAAACGAGTTACAGAGTCCCACTGCAGGTCTCTCGATTGCCTGCAGCCGCCTATACGCCTCCGCAGTATCCTTCTAGTGCGTCGTCCTCCCATTTGTTAAGGGCAGACGAAATTTGGCTTGTTATTATGCCCAGTGCAGGCTCCGGTCCCCAGAACGGTGTCGCGGATCCGATTCTAGCCAACTCGCCGGCCACCTCGTTTCCGGGCACCCCCCTGTGATCATTTTTTGCTTCTTATTATATAGATCTTCGACTTGTTTTTTCATTTCTTTCCTTTTCTTAAGCCACGACAACTTGTAACTAATGTCTATTTTTGTAATCACTGCTACCCCATTATATAAAATAAATAAATAAATAAACTTCATGCAGGCTGAGTAGATTGTAGGTAAGTCGTATAGGTTCGGAGATCTCGATTAAGTACTACGACCTAGAAGATCTTTTTTTTTTATTATTCGATTGGAGCGCACGAAAGGGAATCCCTATAATGTTCAAAGAACATCGTGCGTTCCTACGGACGATAGGGACAGGAGGTAGGTATTGGAATTTTTTTTGAATTTTTGGAGATTATATGTTGTTGGGAATACTTCCACGGGCAATGAATTCCAGAGCCTAGCCGTTCTATGGATGAAGGAGTCTTGATAAAGTGCTGTTCGACATCTTTCGAGGTTGACGACGAAAGGATGTGCTGACTGGGCTTGTCTAGTTCGTCTGATTGGTATTGCTAGTGAAGGGATGATTGCAGAGATTTCCGAAGAACATTTCCCGTGGAAGTATCGATAGAAAAGTGAAAGGTTGCCGACCTTTCTACGGTGTTCCAATGATGTCAAAGAGTGAGTGAGTGTGGCGTCACCCACCAGGCGAATGGCTCTTCTCTGGATGGAATCTAAGAGCATCAGCGTATGATTTGGTGCTGAACCCCATATGTGGGAACAGTATTCTAGAACAGGCCGTATCTGCGCTTTGTAGATCATGAGAAGCTGTTGAGGTGTAAAGTAGCTTTTCGCACGGAACAAGAATCCGAGTTTTTGTGAAGCAGCTTTTGAGGTGGATCTGACATGATTATCCCATGAAAGAGTGTTGCTGATGGAAATACCGAGCATAGATATGGTGGGTGGTGGGCTTGGTGGGGATGGTGGAGCCAGGCATTACAATATCGGGCATACTGAGTTCCGCCTTTCTAGAGAAAATGCAGGCTTGAGTTTTGGTGGCGTTGAATTCAACTAGGTTGTTGGTTCCCCAGGCTGTGATTTCAGCAAGATCTTCATTGACAGCATTGACCTGCCTGCGCCGTGAGTTCTTAGTTTCCTGGGAAGAAATGGGAATTCTGGAAGAGAACACAGTATGGAGGGTACTATCATCTGCAAAGCTGTGGATGGGGCAAGTTGTTACTCCCAACAGATCATTGATATGAAGCAGGAATAATGTTGGTGCCAAAATTGATCCTTGTGGAACGCCGGTATTGATGCCAATGGTATCAGACGATACACCGTCCACCACCACGTGAAGCGATCTGCCTGAAAGAAAACTCGATAAGAGATCTATTGTGAGACAGCATTTCTGGACTTCGCTGAGGATATTAAAAATAAAGCCCCTATTATTATTATTATTATTACCCTTATCTAGTTTTAGTCCTCTAATCCTAGACTTCTAATGAAGCGTATGATTTTGCTGATGGTTGAATTTTCCATCTAAGCAGGCGTTAGATAGATATATACAAAAATAACATACAATCACCATGACCATCACAATTTCGAGAGAATCGCATCATTAATAACTGAGATTTTAGGGTGTAGTCATGAAAAGCGGGATTTTGAAATATTTTTTCTAGCTTTTGGGATTTTGAAAATATGAATGGGCGAGTGGACTAAGATTGAATCAGTGGCATTCAATTACTCCACTGTTTCTTTAGGGACCTGAAATAATTTTTGCAACACTCCTCACGCTTTTTCTATGTAAATAATGAGTCTATGCATTGTTCAAAATATTTGAATTTCAGAGCTCATTTCAAACGTACCGTCATGGCCGCCATTCGGCGATCGTTATTGGTCAAATAATCTCTCATTCCCACTCATGAAGCAAGGTTGCCAAGTCACCAATTATAATCAAGCTATCAAAAAGATGTTGAGAGTCCTGTCGTTGAATAAAACTCCAAACTAGGAGGAACCAATGATATTATAGTTGATTCTTGACTTTTTTGAGCAACCAGCATGTCCTTATACTCCATAACGAAATATCATGTAAATGTTGGAGACTTGGCAACATTGTGCCGAATGCTGAGAACTAATTAGACCACGCCGGCAAGTCGTGCGACGTGTTGTCACGTTTACCCAAGCGTTTACCGGTTCAAGTGACCTCTAGTGTCAATTAATATAATTATTATTTACACGAATGTATCATAAGCAATAAGCCACAATACATGAGGGACAATTGATTTTTTATGCTAATTAGGAAATTGAGAATTTATGGGTTATTGAATAGCTAATATTTCTGATGTTCCCAATCGTATTTTAACATATGGCAACTGTGCTATGGTCTGTCCCTACTTACGAAATAGTGACGTCAGTTTTTATACTCGGTAAATTTCTAGTCGTTTGAAAATTACCTTGGCATTATTGATGATTTGGGCACCTTGAAATTTTGAAATTTTTTTTAAAATGTGGAATTGAAAGGTATTTGAGTGATGATTCTATTTAAGAAATAAAAACACACTTACCAACAATTTAACATCATTGGAACAATGTAGATAGGTTGGCGACTTTTCACTTGTGTAATAATAATAATAATAATAACCCTTCAGACAACATATTGAAATTGTATAGGACTAGTCAGACATCAGTTAAAATAAAACGAACACTAAAACTAAAACTAGAAACTAAACCAAAACTAAAATGTATGGATATTTCCACGGGAAATGTTCTTTAGAAAGCCAGACGAACTTGACAAGCGCAGTCAGCACTTCCTTTCGTTGTCAACCCATCCTCCATAATTACGCACGATGTTTTTCGAACATTATACAGGCTGATTTTAAAATAACTGCATATATTTTAAACACTAAGAAAGCTTGAGGTATACAACCGAATAGCACTATTAAAAATATTATTAGGATCAAAATAGATTTGGGGCAAAATACCCTTTTTCCGCCCAGATTTCTACTTCTGTCACAACTATCGTTTGCGATCCGCAGTCGACCGTGATGAACGAAGCGACGTTGCCACTCTACATGAAAATAAGGAGATATTAAATAAAATGTATAATCGAGAAAATGTACATGGGGAAGAAGTTAACCCTGGTCTTGAATTTCAGAAAGATAATACAAAAACCTTAAAATGGGCTCATCCAAGTTTTGTACACATAAGCTCGAATAGCGTATAGCTTAACATCTCACGGTTGGAAGTTCTTTTACTGAAAAATCCTTTTGACCCTTCCTTCCACCTCCTTGCATCGCTACAATTTCGTGTCCTTAGAGGAGTCTCATGGGCCCCGCACAATAACGACCCGACATATTACATTCACCTCTATTAGTTTCCATAACCTATTCCAATTCATATTCATTCTGTGACAAATTTTTATCAGGATATTCGTCTCTGAAACAATCTGGCATCACTGTCTTGTTTTGACGTTAGTGAATGACGAATTGGAGATTCCCTGGGATTCCGCAAATTTCACTTGCTTCCGAGTGGCGTTCTCGAATTTCGAAGCATTTTATGTTCAATTTTCAAAATGAAATTTCTCGTTAATGTGAAGACTTAGGAAAAATCAAATATTTTATTAATTTTTGTTAGACTCTCTCATATATATGTCTTGAATATATGCACTCATTTTAAAATCAGCCTGTATATAGGGATTCCCTTTCATGCGCACCGAGCGATAAAAAAATATTAATTTGTTCGTTTCCCTATTTTCCAGGTCACCGCGACAGTCAGGACTTGGGCGTCTCCCTGACGCTGTCGTACGGCGACACCGACTACCGACAGCAGGTGGTCGCCGTCGGCACGCCACTGCCGACGACCGGCGCGCCTGCAGGAGCGCACCAGGGCCCCGTCATGCTCACCGCGAAGAACCTGCAGGCGATGCGCGCGCTGCTCAGTCTGGCGCACTGCCACGGCGGGATCCTGGGCAGCTCGTGGCACCTGGTGCTGACGACGCTGCAGCATCTGGTGTGGATTTTGGGTGAGATGGAGCGGGATTTTCGTGATTTTGCACTCGAACAAACGACTTTTCATCCAGATATTTCACTTGTTTTGGATACACATTAGTAATATTCTTTTTACCATCTTTGACTGAGATTAACCAAGATTCTCAGTGCAGCTCAATAGCTCAGTTGTATTACATGTTTTATTTATCTTAGTATGATGTGAGTTGTCTTGAGAACTTATTGAGGAGACTATTCCTTCCCCCTCACTCCAACTGAGCTTGCTATTCATCTGGTGTTGTAGTGAGGAAAAGGTGAGACTGGATTAATTCTAGTAATTCTGTGGTTCTGTGCTGAAAATTGTGAGGTTATATTTTCATTTTGACATGCTCTCTGCTTTGAAGTTTGTTGCGATCCCAAATAAGGGGTTGATAGTTAGTGGTGAGAATAATTGGATGATTTCCGTCGGCGCGATTGTACTTTATTTTCTAATCAGGAGGTGAGAATCAGTGCCGAGCAAAAACAGTGACTCAACCACAGGACATTGTCCGGATATATGATGATCTTCTCGAGCTAGCTCTGGTATCGGGGTGTAGTTGTTTTCTCTTATTGCATGCGGGACACAGGTTTATCCACAAAATTGCAAATATTCCACAATATAATTATTCGGTTTACGCGAACCGGTGTTGGTATTGAACGGAGCAAATACCAAAAATACACTGTGAGCAATAATCTTGAGATGATTGTCAAAATTCGAAGAGTTGGATGGAACTGACAATGATTGTTGAACCGTTCAAGGCAGAATGAATACCTCTCGGCGATTCTTCTGCACCTGCTAAGCCACTGTTTTTTGCGATCTACGCGAAAAATAATCAACAAAAAGTTGGGACTGAATTGAAGTAAATATCCTCTTTTTGTGGATCCACAACAAAGTTTCAGTCCACAGGTTAAATCCTTTGAATACTCACTACAATAATATTTCTATGCTCCTCAATTATTTCCTCAGCCATTTTACATGTTGGTTGAATTATGTTGGGTTATGTTTTCTTCTCTTGCCCTTCCTGATAGATAAAAACCTGTTCTTTTTATTCAATCGACAACTCAGATCCGTCTCACGTCCTTCTAACTCAATTGATCTCAGTAGTGAAAATGTAACAGGATAAAAAGAATATTGCTATATACAGTTATTTGCCCTTCTTATTTTGTCATTGACTTATATAGGAAAATCGAGAAATAGGTATGTAACCAACTATAGTGTATTAATGAGGGCGATCAATGATCGAGACAGTGACGGATTTGCAGTCATGGCCGCCCAAATTCAATTAATTATCATGGTTTTAGGTTTCAGAGATAATTGCACATATGTACCTTATGGAAAATCCGCCACTGGTGTCGACAGTAGAGATTTCTATGTATTTTTATAATTTGGTACTTTTAGTTATTTGTTTTATCGTCAGGGAAGTTTCCGTCACTATTGGCCGCTCCCAAGATATGGTCGTTTTGGATCGAGTTATATCTGAGAAATTTCAATGTATAAATAATAAAACTACTGTCAGAATGAAGCCAACTCTCCTGTACATTTCTACTCCGAGACGCCGATTAAAAACGAACTTGTCACTGACATTAGTGACAATAATCAACAATCAACATGGAAAATATAATCCTTTTGTTCGAAAACAGGGATTGTAATCGTTTTCAGTGATGTTACAAATTTTGGATGAAATCCCTGTAATCGATTTGAAAGCAGATTCCGTATGTTATAGCGAAACGGTTTCATATACATGCTCGTTAATTCGAAGTCGAGGGAAATATGATTTTTTCGCGAGTTTTCCATCTTTTATGAGCAATCATACCAATTGCAGCCATTCAATTTTTCAATTATCAAAGACATAAGCTCTCGCATAAGTTTAATGAGCTACAGATACGAGACATCAGATGAAGGTCAAATGGCAGGAGATTTGCAAAAACACATTTTTCAAAATTTTATATTTGACTCAAATAAAAAAAAAATGGTGTTACAACTATAGTGCAATTTGAACATGCAAAAATTAAACTTCCTTGTGGTATTTAACACAAGAAAAGTGTATTCCGATTTATATAGTTCTGGGACAAAACTTATCACATCTTCATTTCCAAATATCACCTCATATGATCTCACCATCACACAATCGATTTACGTACCTCTTCAACTCCACCCTAAATCCGAAAACCTATAAAAAAAACTTGTGTCTTTATCCCATAGGTGCAGAAAACGTTGCTCTTTCGAGTGAGACGCCTATAAGAGACTAGTTGATTTGGTATCAAACAAGAACAAAAAACTATTGGTAATACCACGACAAAATGCAATTGAAGTCACTGTATCAGTTTTGTTACACCAACTGTGTGGTGGGGTATATAATACCCTGAACAACTTACGAGAATTATAACTCAATTCCTCTTTAAATTACAGTGATAAAGTGCTCATAACAATATGGGATTTCATGAAAAAAACAACTATTGCTCTGTATTTAACAATAGATAAACTTACCAGATATTGGCATCTGAATTTAGTACCCATGGGATATGTCATACCCCACCCCACAGACGAAGGATTATTAAGGGTGTCATAACAAGAGCCCCGGATTTGCCGCCATTTTGACAATACGAGTTGTGCGGTGATTTTTTTACAGATGTCTCGTAAGGACCACGCGATTCAAGAATATAGAGAAGTATTTAAATGAACAGCCTTCAATTAATTATTGTAAAATTACATTACAAAAAAGGGTGAAAGTTTTGCGCGAAAATAGTTCGTCAATTACGTCAAATTTTGGGTCGCAATAATGCGCCAAATGGATCGACAGTGAGGTTTTTAAATACAAAATTACCATCAGTGTAAGTTTGGTCTTAAATTTTTTAATTAAACGCCATACTGTCGATTCACTTGACGCATCATTGGGACCGAAGACTTTATGTAATTATCGAACTGTTTTCGCAAAACTTCCACCATTTTTATAATGTGTTTTAACAACCTATATAGGTTCGAAACATGCTGCTTCTACTTGAATCGTCTAGATTTTTTATTAAATAATTGTGGATCACTGTCAGTAGTAGTACTTCAAATATATGGATAAATAGTAGTTAGTTCACATTTTCATTATAAAAATCGTCTTTATCAGGCAAAAATACTTGGGCAACAAACAATATTCGAAAAAAAAAAGTGCAAACATTTAAAATATTGTTACGTTACTCGGGTGCAGAAGCGAACACAACACTATTCATTTCCGGACTGATTTATTTTAACTAAAGGAACACTAATTTATATCGAACTTATAACTCCTATTTATATAAAACGATTTATATCACGCGGTATATGACTGTCTGTCTGACACTCGCTGCTTGACTGACTGACGGCAGTTGTCCGGCCGTCCTTATATATGAGATCCCTTGGTAGACTTTGCTTCTCGAACGTTCTCGAATGATCTTCCGTACCCTTCTTTTTGTTCTAGAAGCTTCCTGCAACAATACCTCTCTCTCTAATTGTTCCATCGATTGTTTCCAGAATCTTCTGTCACGTTATTTGTCACCGCGCATATATTGAGTGTTCAGAAATAGGCTGGTACAAGAATCATTGGGATGTTGAAGAAAAATCTGGGATGCGTGTTACAGGATGATCGTTGTACTCCTGCTTGCCTGATGATGTTTCTAGAGCCCCTCTAAGGGAAATATCATTAAAATATTCTGACCTAGTATTGTCAACAACATTCTTCTTTAGACAATGAAGCATATTATTATTCACGTCATGGAAACCATCCCTTCTCTAAATTGTCCAGTCTTCTTCATTTTTTTCTCTCTAAACACATCATTATATCAGGCTTGAAACCGTCGACCGGCGGCAGCCTGAAAGCCGTCCGCCCCGCCTCCGACACGAACGCCGTCATCACCAGCTCCGTGATGGACAACCTGCCCGTCCTCTCGACCATGCTGAGCAAGCTGTTCGAGTCGAGCCGCTACCTGGACGACGTCGCGCTGCACCATCTGATCAGCGCCCTCTGCAAGCTGTCGCAGGTATAATCCAGTTGAATTTTATTTCTACTCACAACGTCATGGGGTAGTTTTGATTTCCTTCATTTCATTCGTATTTCAGGGAACTGAATCCGTATCTGAGGATTGCTAACAAAATTTCGTGACGTAACATTGAAAAAGATCCCAAAGAAGGTGAACAATGTAATTCTCTGGCGGTTTTTTGATCATAAGAGAAGTATCAAATCTTCTCTAGTAACCTTCCTATTTAAAATTGAAGTGAATAGAATTTCCTGCAAATTTCACTTAGTTTTTTTTGTTACTCGATGAACCGTTCGGGAGTAAACACTTGTTGAATTTTAATACATTTGTTCGATGTCATTGTCAAACTTATCAATGTCATTTCCTACTCTTCAAATCCCCTTCTGATTTTAGATTTTTTGTCTTATGACGACCGTCTGATAAAACTTGTTCGGGTGGAATCTTTGAACTCAATTTTGAAGTAGATATCTTCAACCGATTGAACTGAAATTTTGTATACACGTTTAGTTTGGATGACAATGTGCGATAAGGTGTGTGACGTTTCTCTAAATCCAAAATGGCGGAATAGTTATTTTTAATCCACTTCTACAATATGGGTATCAAATGAAAGGGCTTGTTGAGAGTAACTCGAAAGATAATGTGACGTCATTCTAAATCCAATATGGCCAACCATCCAAGATGGTGGAATAGTTATTATTCATGCACTTCTGCAATATGGCTATCAAATGAAAGGGCTTGCCGAGATTAATTAGAAATAATGTAGCATCACTCTAAATATATGGCGCACTATTAAAGCTGTTTGTGTTTCCCTATAAAACTAAAGAGTTCGCTGAGAATGAAAATGCAGGTTTAAAAAAATAGATTGTTAAGTCTGTAAAAACATCGATTGATTAACTTTGACTTGTGTGATTTGCCGAGATGGGCGTCATACGGAGAAACCTACCCAGCGATAACTTAAGAGTAAAAAATACATTAAATGTAAAAAAAAAATGAAAAAAAAGCCTTTAATTCTAACGTTCTAAAAAGAGAGTAATAAAATTTGCCTTTTAAATTTTAACCATCAACTTATAACCTCATTGTACACAATTTAACTGAATTGAAATTTTAAAAATTTAAACTCAGTCATTTACTCAGTCATTTGATAAGTTTAAATTTTTTAAATTTCAATTTAATTAGATATTGATCATCGCGACAAGCTTTCATGATTATATAAATTGTGTATAATGAGGTTATAAGTTGATACTTGAAATTTAAAAGGAACATTCTGTTTTTTTCTATTTAGAGCGTTTAAATAAAAGCTTTCTTTCAAACAGTTTTTCATCTTCAAATTTTTTATTTGTTTGCCTGCTCTTTTGCACATGACATGGATATAGACCTTGAAGGTAATTTTTTCCTCACAGTGGCATTTTGTGTTTTTTTTTTATCTCACAGGTATCATGATGGTCGTAGTGCCACTCGTGGCCGAAACTAGTAACACAACATGATTATTATAATTTATTTTTGTAGTGGACTGAATTTCTATTTTTATTCTTTTTTTTTGGTAATGTAGACGGCATAACAGTAAGAACCATTATACATTGTATTCAAATAGATCAAATAGATTCGGCGTCACTTTTATCCACACTGAGTTTCAACATACCCCGTATTTCTTCAAGATAAAACCTGATTTTCCGAATCGATGTTCCAAATTCACAACATCACCTCAATAGTCCAATCACATCTATGTGTAGAAGCCTAAATAATGTGCCGTCTGTAGATATATTTTTTTCAAATTTAACCCAGTTCAGAAAGCAATTGTACACTCTTATTCCAAACTAGTTACATATTTCCATTTGTTCACCTACTAATCAACTGCTCAATTTATCGTAATTATTATCCTTATTATTACTATTATTATTATATACTCCTGTTATTGGGCTCCGGCCTGTTGGATGTATTATGTATAAATAATGGAATAAATAAACTTGAAACTAGAAGAAATTCACTGAATGATGGCCTATGATAAAGAATTATATAATTATGGAGTGGAAAAATGGGTTGTCGAGACAGCCGAATTACGCTTATTTCCATCTAGGTCCTGAGCCCGAGAAAAATAACTAATGATAATTTTATTTACTTTCATTTTGAATTGAGGTTTTTTTACGAATAGTTGATAGTTCTCGAGCATCATGAGATATTGTTAGCAAACCTCAGATTCGGATTCAGCACCCAGAAAAACATGTTGAATGAAGGTTATCAAAACTATCCCACAACCTTCCCTCTCGACACCATATACCTACTAAACATATACGGATAACAAGGATCTCCAAGTGAAGCCAAAAAATGAAATAAATGACAGTCTGCGAGTGAAATTGTATTACCGCTCATGCGTCATTTAAAAATAAGGAAAGACATCAGTTTGTAAAATTCCTTCCAGCAGGCGATGGCTTTGTAATGAACATATGAGTTTTGTTAAAACTTTCCTGAAATGTACGACATAACCTAAAATTCAATGTTGCCTCAGACAAGAAATCATTACCGAGACTTCACTGGAATTCATATTTGCGAAGTTTTGATGGTTTTGATGAAGCAAACAGCTTTAATTCGCGGTTTTGGAACGAGTTTGCTGAAGACAATAAACTTATAAATGTACAGCTTCCCAACAGATGCAAAATTATAGGAAGTGTGGCAGAACAACACAAAAATTGGGAAGCCCATTTACAAATATATATGCCTGTCTGTACCAGACACACTTAGAAACAGATTATGAAGGTGATTTCTTTCAAGTTTCAAGGGAATTCAAATACAATTGTAGAAGAAGGTACATTTTCTGTGAGACAGATTGAATACCTTCACAGAATTCACAGATTACAATGCATCACAATGTAAAACCTGTGATCAATGGATATGAATGGGAAAGAGGAAGGTCTCTTCAATACAAAACTTGAATATGTCTCTAATCATTGTTCTAAAATTGTTCAGCTATATCAGCCAAATCATCCTCAGTAATAAGGATCCAATGAATCTGATGATGACAAAGATGCTGGAAGGATAGAACTCTCTTACCAGAGTGCTGATGCAACTTCCACCAGGACTGATCATTCTTGTGAAAGTGCCTATGATGTTTCCATAGAAAAGACAAGTGCAATTTCAGTAGCCAATCTAATGATTTTTTTTTCACTTTTTCTGTAATATTAAAAAATCCAATGGGTACCTACTCAATTTTGCTTTATTTCAACATATTATAAACCAGAACATGATTAACAATGTGAATAATTTGAAGCTTGTAATTCTATACTTATGAAATATCTCCATTATTCTTCACCTCGACCTTGCTCAAGTGTGATTTTGACAGTAATGGAATCTTTTCAAATGTTCTTCCTGCTTCATTGTAGAAATGTATGTAGGGCAGTTAATTTGTTATCTGGAAAACAAATATCATCAGTTACCCATTTATGGAAGTTAGAAATTATATAATTTACAATTTACCTAGAATTCAGAATTATTCTTTTTCACCAACAGCATAATTAATTTTGAAGGAAATGCAACAGTTTCTTCAATCTCTATCTTCCTTTGATTGTAAAGGCTTGTATAGTGTTATAGGCTTTACTTCATACATTGCACCTATGCCTGACATTTTGCCTGACTTTTTTCACATCTTGCTTGGGTGTGAGCTTCACAACTGAATTCTTCCAGTTTTTTATGCATACCTAAAAATGTGGTTGAAATTTCAGTTAGCAATAGGATCAATCAAGCATAATTTACTTCATGAGGCTTCAGCATAGACAAACCAAAGTTTCTGTATTCTTTTCACTTCAACAAAATAACATTAATTCTTGCTTTGTATACCTGTTCGTCTTCAACCATCGGCCGATTTTGCAGAAGCACTCAAGTCGCTAAAACTTCGAAATAAAAATGATTGAATTATCATAGCATCGAATGTGGAATGTGGCTCTCATTGTTTTCCCCATTCCACTGACAGCTTTGACATCAATATCAATGCTTTGACGTACTTTTCCTGCTACCGGAAAATTTTTCGAGGAGGAATATTATTTTCAGAGGCATCGGTAGGAAACTTCAACAACATAATAATATATAAATAAAATTTAAATGAAATTCGTCCTCCATTTTGACTCGTGATTTTGACAAATCCCGCGCACGCGCAAATAGGTATTCTCACTCGCAGACTGTCATTTGTTTCCTCAAAACTGGCTTCATTTTTGGTATATGCTCGAGACCCATTCCAGCATTGAGCACAAACGGTCTGGATTGCAGGAAGCGATGGAACTCGCGTACGCCAATCGGGAGCCTTCCCTGTTCGCGGTTGCCAAGTTGCTGGAGACCGGCCTGGTAAACATGCCTAGGATCGAGGTGCTGTGGCGGCCGCTGACCAATCACCTGCTGGAGGTGTGCCACCATCCGCACATCAGGATGCGCGGCTGGGGAGTGGAGGCGATCACTTATTTGGTGAAGGTGAGAGTATGATGAGTAACAGTTTTTATCTAAACTACTCAACACTAATTTCGTCGCACACCAAAATGTCGCCCCTGATATAATTTGAATAACTTTTTTCAGTTTAGAGCAATTTGAATTTGGTTCACACTGTTCGATAGCCCAGTCCTTCAGCTATAATCTGGTACTTCATTGAAACATGAGGGTATTCACAAAAAATCTCTACATGGTGTTCTCCGACACTGTGCAACATTTCGGAATATTCAAAAGGCTCTCAAATGGTGAAAAAAAATTTTTTCGCAACTTCGATAACAGTGGCATGAAGATGATCTCATTACCTCGAGATATTTCGCTAATCAACTTCCTATCTCTCTTATTTACAGAGTGATCTCAAAAAATCAACTTTTTGGTTTTGCAGCCATAACTTTTTTCCACGTCAACCGATTTTGGAAATCTTAGGCTCATTTTGAAGATAAAACTTCAGATGAAGAGATCTGCATATCAGAATTGACTCAAGATGGCTATCAAAGATTTAGAGTTTTCTTGAAAGTGACCCAAATCTGGAACGCCCTCCGAATCTCGGTTGGGAGGAGAATTGAATGAAAATCAACTTGTTCTCGGAAAAACAATTCATTCTGGATGCGTCCATATTTTCCTCGCTCTCAGTACTCAAGAATGTGCGTGAGAAAACACAATTGAAACATGTTCTTGCAAAAACATCAGACCATTTCTCCTCTGTAATGCATGGCCCGTAACGAACGTTACAAGAATCACAGTAAGTGACTGACAAGTCAGGTTAGACGTCGTTTTCGAATCATAAACAGATTTTGATAGTGTTACGACCCTGGCAATCGATCCCAGCTACCTGCGGGAACGGGAAGTAAATAAACCGTATTTCTTGGAATAGTAATTAGGTGATTCGACGGCTATTGAGATGACTCGAGAAGATTATCGACCTGTTCACGATATTTCGAGTGGAATCTAGACGTTTTATTAGGTAGTATAAATAGTTGTTGTTAGGGACAGGAAGGGAAGTCTTTATTTGGAAGCGTTATAATAACGATCGAAGAAGTGTTGTGAATCGGAAGTGTTTAGTACGAGTATTGTTATTATTGTATAGTAGTGTTCAGAATAAATCGTTTTAAGTGTTCTACCGAGTGTTAAATTATTACGGACCCAGAGTAAAATCGTAACAGTGGTGTCAGAAGTGTGGATTTCCGAGGACATTTGAATACGTATGGTGAATACAAGGAGTACGTCATACGACACGATGGAAGACATTATAAAATTCATGAAAAATCAGTTCGCAGAACTAGAGACACGACGACAGGAAGATGAGAAACGTCGTCAAGAAGAGTTACAGAAAATTCTAGAACATCAAGAAAAAGAACGAGAACATCAGAAAATCTTCTTCGAACAAATTCTGCATAAAACTGATAAGCAAATGGATGAGTTAAAGACAGATGTCACCAGAATTGATGACAAGCTTAACCAGGAAGTTTCAAGAATAGATTCCATGCTCGATGCAATCGAAAGAAATGTAGCGAATCAGATCACCTCGCTACGAAGTCAAGATCGCCGTGACAGAGTTGCCACATCGGGTTCTTCCGTGAAACCACCAACTTTTGATGGACAGTCGCCTTGGTCTATGTATCGCCGACAATTTGAGGCTGCAGCAAGTGCAAATGGGTGGAGTGACGAGGAAAAAGCTACTGCACTCATAGTAGCTCTGAGAGGACCAGCTTTGGGAATGTTACAGTCGATCCCAGTTGAACAACAAAACCACTTCGGAGATTTAGTGGCTGCGCTAGAACTCAGGTATGGTGACCAACATCGAGAACAGCTTTACCGGGCTCAGATGAAAAATCGTGTGCAGAAGTCTGGAGAGAGCCTACAGGAGTTCGAAGCAGATGTGAGAAGACTGACTCAATTAGCCTACCCAGAGGCACCAGAGGACTTCAAAGAACAACTGGCGGTGCAGGTATTCATCGACGGGCTGAGAGACTCAAAAATACAGAAGACTCTGAGGCTTACACACTTTAAGAGGAGTGGTGAAGCCCTAGTAAGATCTCTGGAGGTAGAAGCGGCCTTCAACACCTCTAGGCCAAAAGTGAGAGCTGTGTCCATCGAGGAGCCTTCCGAAGACGTGGACCCAGTGGCGAAAATGTTGAGAAAAGTGCTTGAGGAACTCAGAGAAATTAAGAGTGGGTCTAGTAACCAGCGAAATAGATCCTGCTATCGCTGTGGCAGAACTGGACACCTGATAAGAGACTGTAAGGTGAGAGTACCACCACGATCTTCTTCACCTGCAAGGACACCATCACGGTCGTACTCACCTGCGAGGACTAGGTCATCTAGTGAGTCCTCAGCTAGTAATAACGAAGCCCCCAGGGTCATTAACATCAACAGGATAAGAAGAACAACTGATAGCCTGACCATCAAAGGAAAAATCAACCAAATGGATGTAACCTGCACCATAGATACCGGTGCATCAGTTTCTCTGGTACGCAGTGACATTCTCCGGCCTGGAAGTATAAAACCAACCACTTCCAACTTTGTTCTTCGTACGGTCACTGGAGAAAATGCACCAATACGAGGGATGGCTGATATTGAGTTGACGCTTGGAAGACTCCATATAATGAACATGGTATACGTCGCAGATATCGAAGATGAGTTTATCCTCGGCATGGATCTGATAAGTGACTACAGGTTTTCATTCGACAGTGATCAGAAGACCATGAAATTTGGAGGAGAAGAGTTTGTACTAACGACACCAGCCGAGAGGAAGACGTCTGTGAGGCTACGACTAGCGAAGACTGTGAGAATTCCTGGATTCACTGAGAAGATCATCCATGCGCGATTAGAAGAGGACCCTGGGTGCTGCGTTGGATTAGTACAGTCATGTGAGGAATCCCCCAGCAAGCTGTTACTTGCCCGAGCTTTAGTGACCACCGAACGAGACATTCCTGTGAGGGTAGCAAATGTTTTACCTACCACCATAACAGTAAGGGAAGGAGATATTATCGGAGCTTGTGAACCAGTCAGTTGGGTAGCAAAATGTGATAAGACTAACGAGCAGAGATGGAGGGAACGAGATGACAGTGCATTGAAAGTTCTGGAAACCTCCTTGGACCACTTATCACCAACAGAATATAAAGCTGCCAAGAAATTCATAGCAGACGAAAGTGATATCTTTGAATCAACATCAACAGGGCGGACGAACTTGGTCAAGCACAGAATAGATACTGGTAAAGCTCACCCAATTCGGCAACCATCAAGAAGAATGCCATTTGCTAAGCAACAGGAGGTGGAACAGCTGGTTGACAAAATGATGAAGGATGGGGTAATTGAAGAATCATCCAGCCCTTGGTCTGCACCGGTTGTATTAGTGTCCAAGAAGGATGGATCCACAAGATTCTGTGTGGATTGTAGGAAGCTCAATGACGTCACCAAGAAGGATAGCTACCCGTTACCAAGGATTGATGACACTTTGACTACATTGGCTGGCTCCCGATGGTTTTCGACACTGGACTCGAAGAGCGGATACTGGCAAGTGGGCATTCACGAAGAAGATAAGGAGAAGACTGCTTTTACGACTGGTAATGGACTGTACCAGTTTACTGTGATGCCTTTTGGACTATGTAATGCCCCAGCAACCTTCGAAAGGCTGATGGAATTGGTACTGCGTGGGCTCACTTGGAAAACTTGCCTGGTATATCTGGACGATGTTTTGGTCATGGGAAAGAATTTCGAGGAACACCTGAAGAACTTACGGGAAGTGTTCCAGCGATTCAGGAATGCCAACCTCAAACTGAACCTGAAGAAATGTTCACTATTCCAGAAACGAGTAGATTTCTTGGGCCACACGGTAACGTCAGAAGGAATACAAACTGACGAGACAAAGATTCAAGCCATTCGAGACTGGCCAAGACCGAAGGACAAACATGAAGTTAGAAGTTTCTTGGGATTGTGCACTTACTACCGTCGTTTTGTGGAAGGATTTGCTGATATTGCGGCACCACTCCATAGATTGACAGAAGATCGAGTCAACTTCAACTGGTCTGTAGAATGTGAGAAATCCTTCAAGAAATTGAAGGCTGGCCTCTGTTCGAGTCCTATTTTGGGGTTCCCACAAGAGAGAGGCTTGTTTATTTTGGACACAGACGCGAGTAACATCGGAATTGGAGCCGTGCTATCACAAGTACAGGATGGTCAAGAAAAGGTTATAGAATACTACAGCAAAGTGATGGCCAAACCAGAAAGGAATTATTGTGTCACCAGGAAAGAACTGCTGGCAATTGTTAAGGCTGTTGACCATTTCCACAAATACTTATACGGGAGAGAATTTCTCATTAGAACGGATCATGCAGCTTTGAGGTGGCTGATGGAGATGAAGAATCCTGAAGGTCAAATAGCAAGATGGCTGGAAAAGCTGAACCAGTATCACTTCAAGATTAAGCATCGCCCAGGAAAACTACACCAGAATGCAGATGCCATGTCCAGAAGACCTTGTTCGGAAACCTGTAAGCATTGTCTGCGCATTGAACATCGAGAAGGAACCGCTGATGTTAGAAAAACCAGGCTTGTGACCGATGATAAGTGGACAGCAGCACACATGAGACGAGATCAGGAGAACGATTCGAATATCGCTGATTTTCTACGTTGGAAAGAAAGAGGAACAGAAAGACCGACATGGAAGGATATCTCGGATAGAGGACCTGTTTTCAAGGCGATGTGGGCACAATGGGACTCACTAGTTGTGGAGAATGGATTATTGAAGCGAGTTTGGGAATCAGCTGATGGTAGATCAACAATTTCTCAGCTGGTTGTGCCCCACATCAGAGTTAATGAAGTTCTGGAAGAAGTCCATGGCGGAAAATCTGGTGGACATTTTGGAGTTAACAAGACATTGAGTAAAATTCGAGACAGATTTTACTGGGTTCAATGTCGTGACGACGTGGAAAGTTGGTGTAGAAGATGTCCTGTATGCGAAGCCAGTAAAGGTCCCAGAACGAGATCAA